CATACAGGCAATATAAATTACTTCTAATTAAATGAGCATAGATTTTAAAATACAGGTTAATCAGTCACTACTTATTTTCACGATTTATAATCATGCCCTTAAGTTTTTGTCAACAGCGGGCAGGACTCGTAAACAAAAGGTTTACCCACTTCAATTCCTCCTGTAGACAAACCATATCTCACGTAATACCAGATAACTTGACCGACGAGAGAGCAAGCGCCTCCCCTCGTGTTTCCTAAAGAGTTAAAGTCTGCACATTCTTGATCTATAGTAGTTCGAAAACCAAAGCATTCAGAGTCCTTTGTAGAAAACCTACCCATTTTCCCATCAGAATTCGAACTCGTCTCTTGAATGTGTCTATAGTTCTAGTTGTTCGAGCCCAAACCCTAGGCTATTGTCAAAAAGGTTTGTAATACCCTTCCCCCTTTCTTGACCAGAGGAAAATTAATAAACAATACTTCTGCCTCTTTCAACCTTTTGCTAGAGTTTTCCCTTCTTTCACATTGTATACTCACAGCTTATATATTAAGACTAACTATTGGCACATGTCGTCCTATTGTATTACCTAATGTTACTGGTTATTAAGTTAATAAGCTTATTTTTCCAAATTTTGACATAATCCCCGCGTTGAAATATTCATATCAACGTATGTTATCATTCTGTTTTTATTATTCTCTTTATTCCTGCTACACTTCCCTTACCATCAGTTTGTTAAGACTAATTGTGCGATTTGTGTTAACAGCTGATAAATTGTCGTTATAAGTTTATGGTTTTTCATGCGTATATAGCTGTAAGAGTAAACCTTGGCAAAGATCTAATTAAACACAATATGTTCGTTCGTATATCTTGTTTCAATTTACGGATTAGTAACTTTTAATATTAGAGTAATTTACCGCATCCCATCCAGTTAGCCTCGTGGTTTATGAATGTATTTACTGAACACAACTTAGACTTTCACCATCCATCTTGTATTCTTCAATAAGGAAGCTCATCAGTAAAAGCGGGTCGTAAAAATGCAGGCATTGGTAAAAGCGAGCTAAAATCTTTAAGGATGTATGTTTCATTTAATTTACACTATCCGCTCTACTTTCCATCCCTTCCCTTCTATGATTAAGCAAAAACGTGGTTTTGAGTGTCTAATGGAAAGTCTAATTTCAACACACAGTAAGTTTTCGAGTTTGATTCCAATGTGTAATTTTGGTTACTCCAGTCTATTTCGAGCAGCCAAGCTAAGAATCTTTGTAAAATGATATTTGTGAGTGTTGGGTCTGCCTCTAATCTCCGACACAATATATTCTTCGGTCTTCCTCGTTCCTTTTTGCCTTTACGATTTCACGTTGTGGCTTGCCTCGCGATGCAATTTGATGATTTCGGCAATGTGTGTCCGTCAACATCTTTTCCTAATTTCCTCTTCGACTGCAAGCTAGGTTTGTTCTCTGTCATAGTAGGTAGTTGTTGATGGTACCTGGTCAACGGACATTGAGTATCCTGTGTTGTCAACTGTTTATAAATACCTGTACGTACTTGATGATGGTTGTGGTAGTTCCCTACATTTTTCATTTTCTTAAAGTACAACTGTCGTGACGTTTGTATTGAAGATTCTGACTTCGATGTTGACAGGAAGTTGTTTTGAGTACCAGGTGTTCTTCAATAGTAGGTGTGCTGAACTTGCTTTACCAATTGGTGCCTTTACATCTAAGTCAGATCCTGTTTGTATATTGATGATGCTAACCAGGTATGTAGAGCCTTCCACCTCTCCCACAGCTTCTCCATCAAAAGAAATTCTGTTGGTGACCGCTGAATTGTATTTCAGGATCTCACTTTTCCTTGTGTATACTGAAGCCGACTGCTCCAAAGGTTGCTGTTACTCTGACTGTCTTCACCTTTTCCAGTGTTCTGCCCATCTATTCTTGAATCTCAGCGATTGGCTTGCCTTCTGTGTATTCGGTCTGTGCCGTGGCTTTTTCGGTTCTTGACGAGTGTTTTTAATTACTGTCTTCTTCTTCTTCCTCTCTCAAATCTTGTCAGGGTTTCGACAGAGATCCATTCTTCATGATGATGCTTCTTACGACCCAGCATTTCCTGACATGTTGAAATTAATGTTTCTTTATTTCCTTTCGATTTGTTCTCTATGGTAGTTTCCTCCTATTTCACCGAATTTAGTAAGGTTTGGAATCTGCTGCTGATAGCAATCTTGAATTCGTTGAGTTTGTTAATATCCCGAGGGAACGCTGTACTAAACTCTCGTAATGCTGTCTGTCCAATGCTTCTTTAGCTTCAGCTTCAGCTTGCCCATCACCAGATGGTGATCTTTACTATGTTCTTACGTCTTTCATGAATCTACAGGATCGTCGTCTGACTCCATTCTGATTGTTGTATAACGATGATAACGAAGCACATATCCCGTTTTCGATGTAAATTAAAGTCAAATACTACTCTAGAATACGCTCCAATTCTAGAACCCGTACTCGAAAACATTCCAGGTAAGCAATCGCATATCTTACGTCAAAAAAACCCACATATTGACTAAACAAATATCCATTCCACCTAGTGTTTCCAAAGAAGAATGGAAAGTTTTGCGCTCACTGCAAGATGATAAAACGATTGTCATTACCAAGGATAACAAAGGTAATACGACAGTTGTCATGAACAAAAGAGATTATGAAGAAAAAGCTCTTAACCATTTATCGATAGGACCATATTTAAAAATAGACTTTAAAAATGGTCAAGTGGCTAAAAATAAAGATAAATCAGATTGATATGATGGAAAGAAAAGTCAATTTTCGATTGATTTACTCATTATGAGTTGACTTCGAGATTACTTCCGTTTTAATTCAATGTAATGATTACTCAATGTAGTATTTGTTTTATTTTCTCGTATGATATTTTATTCTGTATAATATACGATATTCTTGTATTCCATTGACACGAACTATGCTCAGTATGTGATTTGTTATAACTCTAAGTATTTTTCATATGTGATTATATTTTAATTATTAATCAAAATGGGTGTACAATCAATATATAAATGAGTGTATTTTTTACTAGGATCGTCGTCATAGTGTTTTGGGTTAATAAATCACCACTTATACCAGTCTTTGTGTTCTTACTTTCGCGTCGTGGGAATTGCAGAGGTCCCTCGTTCCGAGTATAAGTGATAACCGTTCTCGACATAACAATCAGCGACGACCAGATACAAAAAGTAGCATTAAAAAGGCCAAGACAATAAGCATTCAAACGGCAAGTTATAACGCAGAGACAAGTGAACTTCTGAAAGAACTAAAGCTATTTATTGGCGTTTCCCTATGGTTTACTTTACACATTAAATCTAACACCACATACCATTTCTATAGGCTATCGAAAATTCGCAAACTTGACATTCTTTTAAGACCAATAGTGGACTTTACAAACACTCCTACGTATGCTTTATTTAAATATTTAAGCAGATTACTGAATCCCCTTCAACATAACCTAGTCAGTCGTAAAGGACTCTTACGAATCCAAATAAAAAACCTCGCAATTATTTATCAACAAATACGAAACAATGGTGAGCTTTGATGTTGTATCTTTATACACTAGTATCTCAATTGATAAGATGTTTAGACTTCATTAATCGTTTACTAGAGAACGATCATACTCTATCAAGTAGATGCCCGATAAGCATTAGTTCTATCATAAAGTCCCTCAAACTATGCCTAAACCCAGCTCTTCACTTTCAAATGGACTTTATATAAACAAACGAATGGATTAGTCATTGAATCTCCAGTACCTCCGACTGTTGCAAACCTATTTATGTTCCACAGTGAGACGATTATTTTTGCCAGCATCATCAGATCACGCATCTGGCTCAGACATGTGGATGACATACTTATCATGATTAAAAACTCTCAGGAATTTCTCCAAGCACATCATACTAACTTTCGAAAAGGAAGATGAACATAGTGGACTACCATTCTTAGTGTTTAGTTAAAAGGAATTCGAACGAAAGTCTAAACCTAGCCATATGTCGAAAACCGACACATTCGAATCGGTATATTGATTTTAACTCCACACATCCATTCTGTGCGAAAACTTCCTTAACCCTGAATCTCTTCAGAAGAGCAACCCAAAATAATTACCTGAGAAGTAAAGCTGAAAGAAAAAGTGAATATAGCAAACATCCTACGTTCTGACAATTATCCCAAAAATATTATCAAAAACATTAAAACAGAACTGTCTTTCGGTAAATAACAATCCTAATGAAATCTCTTGGATTGGTAATATGGTTTTACCTTACCGCCAGGGTACAACAGAGAAATTACAACGGATATTAAAAACTTACAAAATTAAAGCTTTCTATGAGACAACTAACACCCTAAGAAACGCTTTAGTTAGAATTAAAGATAGAACCCCACTCTTTTCCACTCAAAATTTTGTCTATAGATTATGCTGTGTCGATTGTGATATGTTCTATATTGGAGACTTTCCGTGAGATCTCAGCTCGTGCCAAGGAAAATTTAAGTTATACAAAAAGACCTAATAATCACGTAGAATTGGAAAATTTACAAATCAACAATAGCAATGCGTTATTTTCAAGTTGATATCAAACATATCAAAATAACTCAGAATGGCTTTTCCAACTGCAACAGAGAGGCAAGTAGCCAAAACGTGCGCTCAACAGGAAAGAAGGACTTGATGTTCATCTAACCTGGGCTGTTTTTCCAGACAAACATACTTGGCTTTCATCTTACAATTTTTCTGCTCATTGGGATATAACAAAAATATATCTATTATTAGGATTATACATGTTTGAATAAATGACTAGTGAGTAATTTATACTTGAATTAATTTTTAATGTCAGTTGACATAGTGAGAGAGAACTTAGAATAAAACTAGATAAAGTAGGATGAGAGAAATAATTGTGCATTAATCAATCAGATAGGATAATACAACCAAGGAATGCATAATTCATGAATATGGACGAAATAAGGGGTAATGTTGTAGTGAGCGAAGACTTGGTGGAAAAACCAATTTATTATTTAACGCGAAATTACAGAGTGCCTTTATAATGTATGAAAATCATACATTAAATACATTATTCACACATGTTCCTTCAGTTGTTCTTTCAATTCTGTTGTTACTTCATTTGCTACCTATTTTACTTCTTGTTTCAGTAAATCACATCTCCTGTTACTGCTACATACTACTTATATCTGTCAGCATAAGTAGCATGCACTACAATATAACGGAATCACTGGTAGATAAACGGATGCTTAGTAAGTACACATATCCAAATGGAAGATGTAATATAATACAAAATTGAACGGAGTAATTAGGGAAATACACAATGGTATAATTATATTCCACAAACAGGATACAATAATGGTATATGAACAAGGAATTATTATTATTCGTATGCGTAGGTGCAAAGTAAAGGGTACGCTTATAATGATACACTGGACTGTCACATGAGTACATTCTAGCCAAATGTTCTACATGTATATCATAATAAAACTTTGCTGAAATCTTTGTTCCCATTTTAGCAGTAAATAACACCAAAATTTTCACGCCACAAAGTCACAGAATTTCAAGCTTAACAGTATATTTTGATCTACACTCAGTGATATAACATAAGTTAATTTTTCTCCCCGCATTGGTCAAAATACATTTAGATTGTAATTGATTGATTACTAAGTAGTGCCCGATGTTATGAACTCTTCAGTGCAGATCGAATCCTACCGACCACGTTGCAATATGGGTACTAGTCTCGGTGACTTAACGTCGCGTGTAATATGTTAAGATGAGAGGGTGGTTGGTGGTAGTCGACAGGAAACCCATGACCTAGATTTCGTGCTATTTGGCACTCGTCATTAAGGTGCACCTGTAAACCCGAGAGAACTGATGCTTCCTGATGGATATATTTAAAATCATCTATATCGGAGATCCATGGTTTCTTTGAAGCAATTATTTCCTTTTATAAGTTTCGATAAAGCAATGAGAAGACGTAGCTGATCTGAAAATTGTGATGTATTTGCGCTATATATTTCAAATAGTCTGTTTACATATATAAATGTCAAGCATTTTGTATCAAGATTCTGAATGTATCTTCCCAACGATTGAACCCCATGACAAAGGTGTTTCCACTTTCGGGGTTATAGTTGAATCCTGGGATGCTGCTGGCAACTGCATTACATGAAGTACTTGAAAGAGCGTGTGAACACGAGCAGTGGATTCCAAGGTTTGGATGGAAGTAGGAATCACGATAAGAAAAACGTTAGTACATTTATAGTTTTTACATGAGAAGATTCTAGAGCACTCTCCAAGTACCCAGTGGTGCCGATGGGTTAGGAAATAGCCAATCAGTGTGGCCTAATACAATCCTGCACAAAATATGTCTTAATCCAATCTATATCCCGCTAACAAAATAATCTCAGAAAAACTAGTGGTATTTCGAGTTATTTAAAATTATGGGAAGAAGATACAAAATTAGTTTCATTTTGCCAAATAAGTAACAATAAGAAAACTAATATTTGGAGAAATTAAGAATCAAATGTAAACGTTTGTACAAAACGACTTCGCTGATAATCATAGTTTGTGATTGTTACATTATATGACTAAAGCAAGAACAATCAATGTAGCAGAATAACATGAATTCATCATATTTCACGGTTTCTCGTCAGCTACTTACAACCTTAACGTAGTAACACTAATCTTTAATAAATTCACTGATAAGTGGGAAAATTTATATGTAATGCATACATCAATCGTAAACAATGATGTTAATTTTTCAGTAAATATTCACAAGCACTAATAATTTGCAAGTAGGTTATGCAGGATGGAAAGTGAATGAAGTAGTCAAAATAGGAAAATAAAAACACGTTAAAAGAAACAATCACGCAACATTTTGTTTCTCGGTCAAATCACAGAGAAACCTGTCAATCACTTGTTTATCCAGATGTTTGCCAAGTACACTGCTAATTTTACGATCAGATAATACTGAAGTCAGTTTAATGTTGTGAAACATCGAATCATTACAGTTAACATTATTGACCGGAATGGTGTTAGTGAATTCTGATAAAGGAGCACGTTGTTCACTTCTCCTAGTCATACTACTAGGTTTCAGATTAAATAAAGATGATGCAGAAAGCAGCGTAACAGTATTAACCAAGCGTTTAAAAATGTTGATAAGATCAGTTATCAGATTGTTAGATCTTTTAGCACAATATAATCGAGGTATCCAGTAACTTGTTACATGAATTAATCGAATAGAGGGCAACTGATTGTCTAAATGATGAGAAAGACAATCTACTAGATGAAAAGAAGGAAACAAAACCCAACAAGGCAGAAAATTAAATAATTTAGACTTATTCTCATCCCCTGCTAAACAGTTTAGTAATGAGACAACGGTTTGCAATTCGTTGTAGATATGTTGAACAGCGATTAGGTTTGATAAGTTTTGTTCCGTAACAGATTTCGTACAAGATGATGGAGACTGATTTAGTGACGAAGCACGTTCAGAAGCAAGTGATATTTCGTTTCTGATGAAGTCAATCCACCGTGTGTAATGTTCATGTAGATTGCTACTCATGAAATCAATATTGAAAACATTGACTACAACACAAGTTGCAATAGCTAAACCAATTGGGGAATTTTCGAAATGACGTTCATGGCCTTCGTCAGTATTATTGATATGTTGTTGATGCCAAAATGCTAAAGTTATAGCCAAAGTAAAAATCCAATCAGGTTGGGGTGTGTGTTGCGGAAGAGGGATATTCAACTGACTGCTTACTATTTCATCCACTGAATTACTTTTATTTGAATTCATAAGAAGTGGACTAATTGTGAGAGGGAGCTCGGTTAACATATCATCACCGACCCATGTGTACTCAGTTATATTTGGATTTAGTTTTACACCCGCACAATGCTCTACTCCGTAAAGAATTCGGTAGACAAGTAGGCGTAAATTGACGGAGTAAGAATGAACTGACAGAAACGGTTTTCTAATGGAGTGGTGTAAAACATCAATAATAGCTGGAGAAAGTTTAACCTTTCGATACAGTTCTGTCAAATTACGAGGCCAATCATGAGTAAAATTGAACTTTATTGGCTGTTTGGCGTTGAGTTGATTGGTCAGACGATCCATATGTTGTAAGCTTACTGAAGCATTAGTTTCTTCACTAATCTCAATCAGCCTACCCTTAGGTACATTGGAACTGGAGTTTACTAAACAAAAGTGAGATGCTATTTCAAGTCCACTTTCTAGAACATTATCCATAAAAGCCGCAATACAATCCAGAAGATACTCAGTCACACTTTGTCGTTCTTCAGCACGATGTGCTTGAATAACATACTCATAAAGTGTAACATAATTTACATTGGATGATTTTACCAACCAGTTAACTAGAACAAACCATTCATGTAAACGAGGACTAGGGTAGTTGGAGTAATCTGTCGTACTATATTTTAACTGCTTACACACATTAGCACGTACCTCGAACCGCCCAGCATACAGTACACTTAATAAAGGTCGTAAATGGGGTACAACTGACGAAATACGAGAAAACTTTTGGTGGAAAACATGAGACAAAATAATAGCATCATCTTTGCAGCTAAAAAAATCTAGGAGATGGATCGGGACGTAGATTAATTCTTGCATAATATTTGCTTCAGTTTTAGTAGCTTGAGCAGGAAACATGTAGTAAATATCATAACTGGATGCTATAAACGGACAATGTAAATATATGGATAATGAAGCAGCATCAGACTGAGCTGAATACAGTGATGTCATGTATTTTATTTGAAAGAACGACAACACATCCACAAATGATGATTTGTAACGATTGATTATGGACCACATCTGATCATTGTAGCGTGATTGGTTTTGCTGAAAAAGGAAAAGAAAGATGAGATAGGAAGTAAAACAGGAGTACTGACTGGTTGGCGAATAGACAAGTTGGGAGACAAAGAAAATCTAAGTCAAAATACTTAGGTAAAAAATGGCAAAGGCGATACAACAACAACAACACATTACTGTATTTAGCGTTTGTTATACAAATATATAGTGTTATTATTATTATTTTAACACATAGATATTGATACAAGGAGGCACCAAATACATATGCGCCACACAAATCTCATTCGATATGTGTGAGGGCCGTGATACTGCCGGGGTGCCCAAACCGAAGCAGGTGGTTTTCTTAGAAGGCCACTCCCTGAGCCTTCGACCTGAAGGCCTGATCCACAAGGCAGTGGAGCATCGTGAGGAGATGCATTCCCATGGTAGCCGGTGACCAACAATTGGTTCATACGCCATTTGTTCCCGCAGGATACTGGAGCCCATGTGCACCATTGGTTTGGAATCCGGTTAAAGCGCCGGGCATTCGCTTTTCGTCCTCTCAGTTTCGTAAACACCCCCGCCACGAGAAGGCAGTGAGTAGGACTTCCCTGGCAGAGGCTATATACGCGTGACCATGTGAGAGCATTTTGAGAGAGAGAGCGGACTCTCCCCACTCTCGGCCGTACCAGGGCATTTGAGGGCAAAGGCGATACAGCATTAGTGTTTAATTTGTACAGTTATCCAAATATGAAGCAGAGGTCTGGGGATTCAGTTTACAAGCACTTATTCATGGTTTGAATCGTGTCAAATATTGAGGAATCTAAAACTGACTAACGAAGGAAACCAATGCGATTTCCAACTAAAACTGAGTAAAACGAACCAAGTAGTCGAGTAAATGTTATGGACACAGAACTCATATCGACTGGTCAGTGATTCAGACATAACAATGAGAACTTTGACAAACACGATGTACGCTTAGGGTTCTTAAAATCAACATTCATTAACTAAACAGTTTTACCTCTATAAATTGACTCGACTCAAAAAAATACAAAGTTATCTGCTCATCTGAAGCTAAGTCGAAGGATTTCAGAAGAAATAAGTTTTCTTACCACCAAAGCTATGGTCTTGGATTCACCTTAATTGTTTTCCGTAGTATGGAGATGGAAATATATTAATTACACAAAGGTGTAGGTGCATGTTGGGAGAAAGCTAGGGGCGGCCAGACCAAAACATGGCAAAAATCCATGAAGTCACTGACAAGTGGACTGGGTCACGTTGCTAGGTGAAGACTACCTGGTTGGGGACCGTGAGATGATAGCAACCGATGGTAAGAGACCTTGAGTGACATGGCTCAAAGTCATTTGCAATGGTGCGGGTGCATCTACTCTTTGCGTTCTTCTGAATTCTTCATGTTCTTTTTCTCCTCTTTCCAGATTTATTTCACTGGATTATACTCCTTGAATAACATCTTCAAACCCTAATCTTCCCTAATACTGCTTACACTTTTACTACCTCTACCACTATGGGATTTGAATGGACAATTGTATCTCTGTTGTAATGTGGTATGGTAACTCGAACTGATGCACGTACGTACGAAGTTCTACGTTGTTTCCGAATGAATGAATCACACACAGGTAAAGATAAACATTATGGGGCTAGTTGGTATGTAATAAATAACAGGGGAAACGTGAATATGAAGCGTAAACTACGAAGTTTACTTTGATGGAACTTGCGACCTAAAATATGCCACAACGTGGCAACAACTTTTACACTTGATAATATTCTAACTCATGGCTCACTGTCTGTATGATTTTTCGAACCACATTCTAGTTGTTCATCCGAATATTTTGCTGTTTTAAAATGTGACACTTTGAACTTGTATATTTTGGTACATTTCAAGTCAGAACGTTGACTGTATGTGGTAGTATCAGCATGTAAGTAAATATCATCACACCAAGTTGAGAATGTTTTTCATTTCTTTCTAAGGTTCCACCTTTACGAACAAAGCTTCTGATTTCAGTCGAGATAACTTCGTACTTAGATCTAATGGATTCTTAAAATGAATCGAAAATAACATACGTTTTTCAACAAATCTAGCCTAACGATTAAGGGGTCAAGTGAAGTTTGGATATACTGACGGTCATTGTGAATACGTAACAAGTTTACATTGCTTGATTTCAGATTAAGGGACAGAGTCGTTAGTTTAAAAACTGGAGTAGGCCAACCTCTAATGACAGTTCTGAATGTTTACCTGTACTTATTGAGTTTTCTTTTACGTGAACAAGATGTCGGTGGATAAATTTATATAGCCGGAAGACAGTAAGCCAGAAAGCTTCCAAACCGTTGATTGAAAAAGAGAATGTTTGAGAGCTGTAGTCTTGAAAGAGTGAAGACTTTGAGATTGAAGTTATAAATAAATTAGCATCATGTAGCTGTTCTAAATGATGGGCTGACAGGGGTTAGCGGACTAGTCCAAATAAAGATAATACAGAGAGTGATACGTAAATATTTGCAACAAAAGTTTCGCTTGAAGAGGTAATATATTTAAAAATAAAACTTACTCCAACTTTAGTGCAACCATCAAAAATGAAGAGTGGTTGAATGTCACACATTTGTACTTGGCTTATCAACTTAGAAGCCGTCATTGAGAAAAGAAGGAACTCATTATGATTATTATCTTTAAAACCAATTACGTTCTTCAATATAAAATGAATAAAGTCATCGCCATGTATAACAACAACAGTTTTTTGGAGAAGTGATACTTCGAAATTGAAATAACTCTTCGAAAGGAAGAGACCAAGATTATTTCGTCTGATCATAATTGTCATTCAAAAACTAAATAAATAAGACAAAAATGTTGTGTAGATGTCAAGTTGCTCAATGACGTATGTTTTACAGAGTATATACTACATGCTATATGACAAGTCATGTTGATTAACAATATCCCACTTATCAAGTATGGTCATTTTAAATAACCTTTACAATTAAGCCACCTACATTCTGTCTCGACTAAAAAACAACTTGTGAAACAACTCTCAGTCCTCAACTTTTACATTTACACTGTATTTACCCTTTGAATGTCCTGTTTTAAAGGCCAAGTTTTAGTCATAAAGCAGAACACAGGGAACTACTGGGCAGTATATTCATACTTTAGTCAAGACAGACAATTCGTTTGCACCAAAAATAATGGAAGCTGATGAAGGTCATTAAAGCTTTCGGAATCCGCGTTGGAATTTTATCAGACACTAACACAGGAGACCTGATGAGACTTGAGAAAATGAGGCGGTCGACGAACCCAATAAGTTTAGATGTAGGGCCGAAAACAGATGTTAGTTTAATCTACCTTACACCAGTAGTATCGTGGGGATGAGTTAAGCGTTAAGAAAATCTACACAACAGTAACACTAATATATAGAAATTGATCACTACGTGTAATTTTGGACAAGTTACGCAGATCATTTTTCTCTGCTGCGGGACTTACTCAGCTTTGTTCTTACTGAAGTATATCATATGATATATGATAAAATAAATTGTTACTTTTCATGATCTCAATTTAAAGTACCAAAAGAATTATAAGTTCTGTGGACTTTCCCTATACTTCCATAGATGACACGATCACTTTATTGCGTAGTTCCGCAATTTTCTGTCAGAATCTTTACTTATAGGCGGATTTTTCTGTACTTGATGCAGGAAGTGATTATCTACAACCAAACAATAAAGGGGAAATAAAGGTGAACAAAAGGGAAATAACGGGGAAACGTGCCAAAAAGATCTGGTTTTTACGTTCATGTCGCTGTTTCAAATGTTGCTGAATTGTCTACTTTTCGTCCAAATACACACAGAAATGTTTACTTTTCAACCCCTGATCAAGGGCTGAATATTTATTTTCGGCCACTAGTACTAGAGATATAAATGCGATGATATGCTGGAAAGAAGTTTGAACTATGTGTGAAAAACACCATAGCAGCTTAGACAAAATATAAACCATAAAACAAACAAAATAGTAAAACAAATACTTTTTGCCGCTACTGTATACATGCAACGGATTACTGCGTCAATTCGATATACTTAAACAAGACAGACCTCAATACACTGTACTTTTCTCTAGGTAATTATTCTTTACCCTCCAAATTGTTTACGTTTTGATTGGTTTTTGGCCATAAAGGTCTCTGAGTTTTCTTATCGCTATTTCAACTTCTTGGAAACCTGAATAAGTGGAAACGATTGCAGAGGTAATAAATCCCCAAAATAAATAGCTCTGTAAGTCTTCGACATTGGATGCTAACCACATGTTCTAATGGACTCACCTAGTTGAAGGCGCTCGGCCATGCGTCCGTACCAGATCACGAGTGGGAACGCTGTGCTCAACATCACCTGCAATCGCTAGCCAGTCTAGATCAGTCCATCCACGATATATTGATAGCCTATCAAATATATCTTCGAACCTCCTCTATTCTGTCTATTGATTTCACTTGGTGGGTACGCTTCATATTAGAAGGTGTTGCTGGTTAAAGCGTTGTCAAACTCCAAATACCTGTGGCATCTTCATTGGTGAGCCTAACGTGATTTGGCATACCAAAATGCAAACTGTATCTGTTCCTTTTTGGGATTTTATATATCATTGCCTTATTTTAATTTTCTATACATTGTGATACTTTTTATCCGTGTTTTTGGATATATATATTTTTTTCCTCGTTCATCCTCGTACTTGATATTTCGTTATGACTGAATATACACTCAAAGTACTTAAGCTAAAGACCCACCTTCGTTTCAACTGATGCCCTTCTGGCCAGACAACACCGAGGCCTGGTTTTGCTACACAGAAGCCGACTTCCACGAGCACGGCGTGAACGACACACGCGCACAATTTCTCGAAGTAGTCAAGGCACTACCGCGGGAATTCAACAGGTACGTAACACCTAGTATGTTTACTATTGATGTTTCTGAACCCCACGAAACACTGAAACGATCTATCCTTAAACGCGGAGACCTAACCGATAGACAAAGGTTAGACCAGCTCCTTAATAACATCGACCTGCATCACGGTTCTGAGACAGACATGTCGCAAAAATGAGAGAGGTTATCAGCCAAAGAACATTCGATGATGGCCTATTCAAACAACTTTTCTTATCCAAGCTTCCTCAACAGGTGCAAGCTGTGCAGGTCTCATTTCAAAACAACGCCTTAGACGACTGGCTGCATCTACCGACCACATCTAAGAAACCACGAAATCTTCTAATGCCGAGGTTTTTCAGTCAAAGTGAAGCCTCAAACGACCCAGGATGACATAACGGAGTTGTGTCATACACTTACATGTTGTCTTAAATTTCGTAACGACCATAAATGGTCACACACCCCTCGAAGAAGCACTTCAAGTAGGCAATCTGTTTCCAGACCACGAGAGACTGATGACCCCGACTGGTGCTGATATCATAACCAGTATGGAAAGTCTTCTAGGAATTGCAGAAAACCCTGCAATTTTCCTAACTCAAGACCGACCGACACAAAACACTAATTTATCTGTTTGCGTAACTTCTTTCTCCGGTCGCGGATTATCTCCAGTCAAAGTTAAGCTCACGATAAACCCGTTCTATCAACCATTACTCAATAAGCATTCTGAAATATACCAACCACAATCGAAATTGCCGTGTGTAGCCAGAAATGTCGCACGTCACATCGCGACTACAGGACCACTTGTATTCTCTAAAGCACGACGACTAGCCCTCGAAAAGCTAAAGTTGGCCAAAAGCGAATTCGACCAGATGATAGACTTAGGAATCGTACGACAGTAAAGCAGCTCATGGGCATCTCCGTTGCACATTGTCCCCAGGAAGGATAGCAATGATTGGCGTCCAACTGATGACTATCGACAATTGAATGCGAAAACCATTCCCGATCGTTACCCGTTGCCTCACATTCACGATCTGACAGTTACTTTAAAAGGTACAACTGTCTTTTCCAAAATCGACTTGGCTAAAGCGTATAACCAAATACCTATGGCTATAGACGATAAACCGAAAACAAATATCGTTAGTCTCTTTGGACTCTACAAATTTCTGCGAATGCCTTTCGGTCTAAGAAACGCTGCTCAAACATTCCAAAGGTTCATAGACGACGTTTTTCGAGGTCTCAACTTCGTACACGCGTATGTTGACGACTGCCTAATCGCAAGTCCAGACAGAGAATCACATCCCAAGCATCTGGATCCTGTTTTCGAACGACTACAAAAACATGGCATTACTGTAAACGTTCAGAAATGCCAAATCGGAACCGACTCATTAGACTTCCCAGGACACACTATCGATGCTCGAGGAATTTGACCCCTTAGAACCAAAGTGGCGACCATCATGGATTACCCAGAACCGACCACCGTCAAGCAACTACGAACGTATAACGGCCTTGTAAGTTTCTACAGACAATTCATACCTAAATGCGCGTTACTCATGAAGTCCCTTACCGACCATCTTCGTGGAAATGCGAAATCCATCAATCTAGACGACACCGCGCGAAATGCACTCTCCACAATTAAGGAACTCATCACTAAAGCGACAATGCTTGCTCATCAGGACACTGAAGTACCCATTAGTATCGCAGTAGACGCATCCGACTCGGCAATCGGAGGAGTCTTACAACAATGGGTTAACAAATCCTGGCAACCTTTGACGTTTTTCTCTAGACGGTTGCTAGACACTGAATCGAGGTACAGCACGTTCGGTAGGGAACTTCTAGCTATGTATTGTGCTGTGCGGCATTTTCAACACTATATCGAAGGCCGTGAATCTACCCTTTTCACTGACCATAAATCGCTTACCCTCTCTTTCTAAGCTCTTCCTCTGACAAGAACTCACCTCGTGAGTCTCGACAGCTGGACTAAATTTCGCAGTTTATTCAAAAATCCAAGACATTTCTGGAGCAAACAATCTAGTTGCAGACGACTTGTCTCGCATAACTTCCTTGAACAATTTACAAGGAATCGACCTTCTTCAACTCCCCAGCTTGAAAAATAAGACACTGATCTTCAGCACGAGTTATCGTCTACAACACTCAAGCAACGCATCAAACAGATTGGAACAGGTAAAGACATCATACTTTGTGACACATCTACAGGTAGGGATCGCCCGATCGTGCCGAAACATTATCGACGCAACGTCTTCAGTATGTTGCACGAATTTTCTCATCCAGGTGTTCGTGCAACCATCAAGCTTATAGCAGAACGGTTATGCTGGCCTGGCATGAATAAAGATGTGAGAGAGTGGGCACGCTCCTGCGTAAGCTGCCAAAAATCTAAGGTTATCAGATACAATAAATGTCACTTAGGCTCATTTAAAATTCCCGATGCTCGTTTCGACCATGTTCATCTTGGATTTGGTAGGACCTTTACCAGATTCAAATAGATACTCTTATCTCTTGACCGTTTCACTCGATGGCCAGAAGCAGTACCTATCAGGGACATCACTGCTGAAACAGTGGCTCGCACCTTCGTCGAACGATGGATAGCAAACTTCGGCTGTCCTTCAACCATAACTACAGACCGCGGACATCAGTTAGAATCCGAACGTTTCCATTGTCTGACCACACTTTTAGGAATCACTCGCTTCCGAATGACCGCCTACCATCCACAAGCAAACGGGTTGGTAGAACTTTCTCACCGACAACTAAAAGCTTCGCTATCAGCTGCAAACGTTTCACAGTGGATCGACGCTCTTCCACTCGTCTTACTAGGTATTCGCAATGCAGTGAAAGCGGTCATTGGATACACTGCGTCTCAGCTCGTTTATGAAACGACACTTCGACTTCCAGGAGAATTCGTGGATCTTTCATCCTCTTCAGTGAACATGGATCTAATCTCTTACACGAACAGGCTTACAAACGCAATGCGTTCAGTTAAACCTGTTTCCACTCGACCGTAATCAACCGATGTTTTCGTTCAACCTGACTTACGATATAGTACACACGTCTTCGTACGTCGAGACTCGCATCGACAACCATTCAAATCAGAATACGAAGGACCTTTCAAAGATCTCCAACGAGAAATTAAGTACTATATAACTGATAAGAACGGAACTAACGACAGCATCAGCATCAATCGCCTCAAAGCAGTGTATTTCGAAGGAGATCCTATCTACGTCGATTTTTCTTCGGTACAATCGAACAACACGGCTCCCACACTTACAATACCCCATCCGACAAATAACACGCACGATGATACTTCGTCATTATCTGAAGATAAACTTAAAACAACGCGTTCTGGAAGAAGAGTGAGATTTCCAGAACATTTAAATGACTATCGCACGTAAGACACTAGTAAACATTTTGCTTCATCTCGATTTTCCATGGCAATATATATAATATTTAAAAAAAAATCAATTTTCGTGTGCTTATATTTGTATATATTTATTATTTGGCTAATATGTATAGTAAAATTTTTTAAGAAAGAACAAGAAAAAAACAGTTTGTAAAAATAGCTTTTACGCTATCACATGTATATGAGTTTATTTTCCTTTTCTCTCCCACTTTGTGTCTGAAAGCGTGTACGAGTTTATTTTGACATGCAATTACATTTTCTTTTTTTCTTTTCCAGAACGGCTGGAAAAGACGATAAAAGAGAACTATGAGGTCTACGACGAAACAAAATTTTTCATCGTACATTATTTATTTACTATATTGTACTTCCTGGTCACTTATATTAAGGAAGGACGACCAGACGCTGCTAAACCTAGCAAGCTATCAGAAGAGTGTTTACCAACGGCAAACTCGTGGGGTTTAAACTTTTGGCTGGCCACAACATGGGTCATCACTACTCTACTGGGGGGAGTGATCTGTAGCGGTAAGTGAATCCCCAAAATAAATAGCTCTGTAAGTCTTCGACATTGGATGCTGACCACATGTTCTAATGGACTCACCTAGCTGAAGGCGCTCGGCCATGCGTCCGTACCAGATCACGAGTGGGAACGCTGTGCTCAACATCACCTGCAATCGCTAGCCAGTCTAGATCAGTCCATCCACGATATATTGATAGCCTATCAAATATATCTTCGAACCTCCTCTATTCTGTCTATTGATTTCACTTGGTGGGTACGCTTCATATTAGAAGGTGTTGCTGGTTAAAGCGTTGTCAAACCCCAAATACCTGTGGAATCTTCAAACCTAAGTCATGACAAACGCACAAGTAATGTTAAGTCTCTGATGCCACCATTAACTGACCAAATAAATATCTTGGGAAAAATAACAAAATATGTAGATAGATATAGACTTTAGGTGAACTTAGATATTTTGATCAGAGGCTCTAGAAAATGGGGGATACACACCAACTCGATCAAGTATGTTCATTTACATTGCGGATAATAGGTGAATGGTAGAAGTGTCGTATGCCACACAACGACTTTTAGGTAACAGTGTGACCACGATCCAAACACACGGTCGCAGTTAAGAGCGGCATGAGAAGCTAGACACTGTTTCCGTCCTGATGAAAATTAAGAAATGATTTTGAAGGTGATATATCCTGTATTTCTTCTCCCGACGGATTTGGGCAACTCGACTGACATACCGAGCGAGCAGAAAAGACAAGAACTAACAAAATGCATGTGGGATCAGGCTTTCACGCCGAATCATCAATACTTGGAAACTGTTATCTGAAGAATTGATGCCCACCTCTTCAGTTGGCTCATTCAAAAGGAAACTAGATAATCAGAAGCCTACTATAAAAGGAATAGCACACACCGTAGGCCTTCTGTTCCCAATATGCAAATCTCAATCTGATCCGAATAATAAAACAAATACGTCATGTCATTTTGTCCTCCGTTTAATGTACGTGTAGAATTATGGTCTACTTCGTTATTAGTACTACTAAAAGAAATAGACCTAACCCTAAAAGTATAGATTTGTCATGATGTAGCTACCCAATCTACAAGATCCTACGTGGAAGTCACATCATTGTCAACACTGACTCATCGTGTCGTAACAATGAACAATATGATACTTAGTAATTGTGAAGAAGACATTTAGGATGAAGATAAGATAATATTTAATGTCAATAAAGACAAGTTACACAGAATGACCATGTTTGCGAGGCTGAGCCATGCCGTGCGATCGAATCGAATTAATACTTCCCACCTACTCCACTGTTGACCTTCGTGTTAACTGTTAAATATGCATTTTCCCGGTTATCATATTTTCAGCTGTGAAGGTTGTGTGATTAGAACGAATACTACTACATATGAAAATAATCGCTTTGGGCAAGTACGGCTATTGTATTCCATATCGTACTCTGTATAAAGAATTTACTTAACATCCTGACAACGATCGCTGTTACTATCAACATGATCAAATCTTACAGAAGACTTAAAAAAACTATCGGCTTCTGGTTTCGATCTCTAGATTGTCTTAATATGAGAACTGTGTTGTTTTTTTAGTGTTGTTTGTCGCTTTCCGTAGTAAGTGTAAGTGTGCTATGTGCGCTTGCTGGGTCTTCGACTCACCTTTTCTTTTGTTCTCCTGTTTCACACTCCTCCTCACTCACTCAACTTTGTATGTTCCTCTGTGTCTAGGCGTGAAACGCTTCGTTGCCTACTTTTAACTATTCATATGAGTTTCTCAGAAATGCCTTTGTTGTAATAAGTCAGTGGTTCATTAATAACCTTAGTCTTAATCAATGCGCTCCACTCAAATTATTACCTGTAAATTGGTTTTCTGTCTGGTATTACTAGCCTGGTAAAGAAAGCGTATGAGCAATAATACACACGAAAAGTTTCTGTCACTTTCTTTTCGTTTAGTTTCCATCTGTGAACTAGATTAGGTCTGCGTAAACATCTGTTGTGTAAACGGTTGTTTTGATCTCGGGTTAAATAGTGTGATAATTTGCGTACACTAATCCTGTCTTTAAGTAAAATAATATGTGATGTGTTCATAGGTAAATATTTCCAGCCTTCCCATTTTAATGTGTCAGAACATGTTTTTCTCCTAAGGAAATATCTAAATCAAAGAGATGTCGTCGTTTAATGTATAGTGTATGGGGATTCTAGTGTATAGAACTCTTCTTTTATCTACGTAGGTAAATTTTGCCCTAATGCTAATAGTTTCTGCCGAAGAATATAGTCAATACTTATTCTGTTGATCAGTAGGATACAAATTTTCATAGTTTCTTATTTTCGTTCAGGTATTCAATTAGAATAGTTGTGTTTATTGTAAAAACAGTAAAAAACACATCTGCTATGCATACATGTGGTAGCTAGCCTTAGCAACGTAGTAAACATCGGCTGAAGTTAACGTTATTCTGTAGCTTTGGTTTACCTACTGAGAGCTCTCAGCGATGAGTAGTTAGATCCGGTATCGAGAAAGTCCTCTTTTCCCCAGATTTAATGGACCTTATTCCCGTCTTTTATTTCAAGTGCGCGATTCAGCATGGTCTTTGTGTATAGAAAATACTGAATCCATTCCTAAGTACCAAACAAATTTTCCTCAAACTCATGAAGTCGTTCCTAGTCGGTCGTACATAAAACAGAACCCCGTATAATTATGTATCTACTGTAATTTCTTGAATTAGGGAGTTTGCATGCCTCTGCACACTTCAACCTTACAATAATAAGACAGATTTAAACGCCACTCCACTACCCTTGGCACAGAGAACTGATGCCTTTAATCTTTACATTGGAAGCGTATCTAGTAACTGCATGTATCTGTTTACGTGTGGTAAGTCCACTGCTTTACTTGTATCACTTTTCAAGACAGTAATACCGAGTTCTAAATGGACGAATGATTTTGTCGCTCGATACATGGTTTCAAAGTATCGTTTTTCGGAAACGATATTACCAGTTACTTTAACGTAGTACTGTGATTTCTGTTTTTACTTCTTAACTAACAATTTTCTAAGGATGTACTCCAACTTATTGCTCGCTTACCCTCCACTTTTTTATTCATATATGTGCAAAACACAAGTTTATCTCGTTATGTACACATACTGTTTTAGTCAAACGGGCTACCTATTTTAAAGCATTTTCTGTCAATGTATTTTTGAAAAAGATGGATTAGTTGTTGTCTTTGCCACATCATTGTTTGTAGGTGAAGCAATGTATTCATTTTCCCTCATGTACTCTGATCCTCATCCGTTTTCATGATCTTCCGAAAATTTCAAATCTTGGTACAATTTTTACTTGATATTTTGTAACCGTATCTGGTTCATTCACGTATTTGAATTCTAATAGATAGCATACAGTTTTGAATTTCAGGTTATTTGTCAGTCCTAGCAATCTGATATCGTACGGTGGTGTGACGTTTCTTAACTCCTACTAATAAATACAGTGAACGGTACTACTCCCATTCACTTCGCTCCGCTATCTAGAGCAAAAAGTCGTCAACGATGGCTACAGTAGATTCTAAAATACATTTTGGATAACCAGTTGAATATCGACTAAGATAGCTATAGTTTATGAACATAGTAGTTCCCAATAAACCAATTATGGTGAAAAATGCATTGGAAGTCCATAGACAAAATTCATAATGTATAAGTTTGTGTTAAAATCGTTCATCCTAAGTAAATATTGATTTCCTCTCAAGTTATATTTAGATGCTTGGTGTCTGTAATATAACTATATAGTGTCATTAATCATTGCGCTTGCTAAAAGATTCTGATAATATACAAACACACTCATTTTGTCCCTTCGTTTCTGGATAAATTTGTCGTGTTCTTTTGATTCTTTGTCACATTTTTGGTTATTTGTTCCCGTAAAAGTCTTATAACTGCCTACTATAATTGTCAAAACGACATACACATTACTTGTGTCTTATTTTTCATTACATCCACTGAGTTTAACTATTTTTTCGGTTGTTTACTTATCCTTGTCTATTTTCCTGTTTTTTGTTGTCAGTATTTTTTTGATGAAAACAGAAGCTGTACCATACTCTAGTCATAGATAAGTTGTATATGATTGGTCTTCTGACTCGAAAATTATGACTTCTTTCGGAAAATATGTTAGTAATTTTGTCAAAACAGCTGTTTCGTCTATTTCTCCTAATAAAGTAACACCTTACACTTTAAGCCAATACGAATCTGAATATGAAAAGTGAGTTCATTTTAAATATTCAAATACTTACAAATTATTCCTAGTTGTGAACAATTACTACAACAAAAGTCAATTTATTATTTCTACAAAGTGGCAAATCATTTTGATATGGTTTACTTACCTGGATCAGTTGGCATTCCAGTCAATGGAGAGACTGTTTATGCTTACAGGTGTTTATCTACTTTCATTTATTAAAAATATTATTCACTCTTAAATTTGTCTAGTTTATTTAGATTTCAAGGCGAACAAGAAGCAGGCGTCGCTGTATTTTTAAGATACATAGAAGTTTTGGATCCTCTGCATTTAGCCTGTATGAACATGAGCTTATCCATTGATCGCACATATTTGGAGAAAATAACTGCACACTGTCGAAACCAATGTGGCTGGTCAGCTGCTCATGTAGCTGCAGCAATGTCTTGGCGTGAGGTTTTCTTAAGCGAGTCAGTAAACGGGTAGGTTTATGGAATCTTGTCAGCTAATTAATTTCGCATTTCAGTCTTTTAAATGAATATGATCCTCTTTCTGGTCTAACTCCACTACGAGTCGCAATCAAAGAGAATGATGAAGAGACAGTTCAGTCTTTAGTAACTATGGATAATATCAAGGCAACTGAAAAAGATGAGGATGGTAATACTGTTCTCCATTTGGTTTTGGGAGATACTTCGGCGAAAATTTTATCTGTAAGTTTATATATTATTATCATTTCTTCGGAACAAATATCTAGCTATAGTTGACAATATCTGAGATATATTTAGGTCTATAACATGTTAAGTTGTCCTAAACTATTTGTTATAAATAGAAGATATAATTAAGTATCACAGAAAACAGTTATGTGTTACTAAGTCACTTCTATAGACCTTACCTATACTCATCCGAAGGTGTCCCTAGTCTGAAAGGTGTAGTCCAAAAAGTACCTGGTCACTTTTTTTATCTTCCTCTAATTTTTCACTTTTCGAACCATAATTTCTGATATCTAATATCTCTTAGTATCATTGGTATTACTACTATTATACTCTTTTGTTGTTGGTCTTGTTGATTTCGTCTCATTGTGCTGATATGAAGTTACAATTTGGGCTTATGTGTATCTGTGTGCCTGACTGATTGGTCGTTTCGCTTGTCTGGATACCAATTCACTAGATACTGTTAGTAAGTTAGCAATCTGGATTGATAATGAACATCAAATACTGTATTTTTTGTATCCCGTACGGAATTATCTGCACAAAAATTTGCAATAGTTTTGTTATTACAGAGTGACTTGGCTTCGAGATAATTCCGTAGGCTTCATTTATCAATCACTCTGATAACCGTTATTAAATAAATATCAACGGTGTGTGAATTCAGAAGGTGACACAAGGCGCCGACTACAGTTTATTATTGGATAGCGCAGATAACAAAGCTACAAGCACATCAAGCGAATTTGAGCAGAAGGGCTAATGCACGCGACCAAGAGAATACAGAGTTGAATCAGTTAATACAACTCACGCACACATATATATGTTTGGGAAAGCGAATGTTTCATTGAGCGATATTTAACTAACTAGGAAAGAGGTATGTGCGTACGCCATCACGTGTGATCAAGCATACCTGATTATATAAACATGATAATAAAAATAATACGAAGAAATAGACAAATTGATACTGTTCGAATAACACTTTCTATTAAATAAGTTAATAGAAGGTGTCGACAAAATTAACCGTTAACAGACGTAACTGTAAGACAGCTACTATACCACATTTGATCCTAAAAATGAAACCATTTTTAAAAATACTCTTCGTAGGTTTGTATTTTCCTTCGTTGATATTTAGCACCGAATTCTGATCAATCTCTCACCATATGTGCCTTGTTATTGGTTGCATTCATAAGCTTTTTCATACTTTCGTTTTCAATAATACAACTAAATCCAAAGACTGAATCTTGTTACCTTCTGACATGTTCTTTGAATTTACTGTTTATCTTCATAAAAAGAGTAAATGTCACCTAGTTTAACTAGTCTCTGGTAACTTTCGAGCTCACGAACTTTCAGCTACTGACTGAATAGTGTGTAAAATTTAACCCGTTTTTTTTAAAAATGAGATTAAACTTGTCATCGTCTGTCTGAAACGTAAAAACTTAGCGACAACTAATAATTCATTCATTTGTTGCTTAGTTTAGTAAAATCCCGGGATGAAGTAATAAAAATTAACCATCTAAATGTCCAGCTAATCTTCACTTATTATTCCGATGATAATTATAAATTAATCTAATTAAAATCCATTTCTAATTCCTTAATGAGCTAATCACTACTAGTAATCCGGATAATTTGTAGGTTAGACGTCTTAGTTTTACCTGAACTTTTTTATTTGATGATGACTATTTTATCAAATATGGAAACTTTAAAGTTAGTTTATTGAAGAATTGAAGTATTACTAAGTAATATGAACAGCTAAGATGTTTTTCTACTTTGGGAATTACAAAATCATGGGCGAATGACAGTTTCTGTCAAATTATACTTGAGGAACTTAACTTTTATTAAACCATGTTGATGAAAAAAGTCAATGTGACTTTGTGCCATCATTCTTGATTATTGGTTTACTCAGTCGGTTTTGAGCCAGCTGGGGGACAAACAAATTTTTTAGTTGAATTCCAGACTATACTTTTAAAGTGTCCTTTAATTGCAGTTTTATTCGATCCCCAAACTCTGAAAAATCCTCTCAACACTGTAGAGTTTGTATTCTGTAGAGTCCTTTACCTGTTCTTAATTAAAAATGAGATCATGACCGCTGACGTGGATTTGTATCCGAGAGGATGTATTACGTCGTCTTACTGCAGGCTAGTATCCATATACTATTTACATTTCAGATGTTATTGAAAAATCTCTTAGGGTTGACAATCATTGATAATCATGACTTCTACATTCTTCATGAACGCTAAGAAAAACTCAAGTGAAGTGGATTATGTGACGAGTATCTCTGTTTTAACTGTACTATGGGCTTTTCATCGTTATAATATTCTGTTATCTCTCCAGTTTCTCTTTGTTGCCGCCATTTCGTTTTGCACAGGATATTTCTTGTTGTGCCACTGTTTTCACTTATGCTTTTTAGCATCATGATAAATATTAATAATCTGTGTTGTCATATGGTTGACAATCATTGCTGTCAGTTCTTCATTCTACTATTCAGACTAAATCTTTTAGTCTAGACAAAATATTCTGGAATTATTTTATCTGTTTGCGCACCACTGTTGCTTTAAAAGATCAAAGTTATTGAATGGTTGTTTTTGAGATATTCTTGTTGTATGTAGGGTTAAACAAGCTTATGTGGTAATTTGTTGTATTTATGTTGTTCTTTCTTATAGTAGTTTTCGGTGAGAGTAATTAGGTACTCCTTGACATTGAAGATTTTATTTAGGAAATTTTCATTTTTTGCAGTACTTAAATGCCACAGTGAGTCATAATTGTGAAAACAATATTTTCATATATGTGAACTACAGGGTGGTTGGAGTAGTGGTTTGAAATTGAGATTGTGTATATTTTACGCACGCACTTGGATTTGTAGTATAAGTTTAAATGTTTTACTTGATAAGGTGATTATAAAAGGACCAAATTTCACTGTTCATTACTTACGTTTCACCGTTTTAGCAATAACTAATAATAATGACTTTCCAGTTTGAGTTGCATTTTATGTTTTAAGTTTTGTTGTTGGATAATACGTAGGCTGTAAGACTTATTTCAATCTGTTTTTTAGATTCGATCTCATGATCGTATTGGACTTTAAGAGATTTCGGTTTTTGCTGAGACAGACTTCTAATATTTTCACTGACTAGATTTTAGTTCTTTAATACGAATTTGTGGCGAAGATACAGTTTTCTCTAACGTTCTTTATGTTCTCAGGTTTTTTGGTTTTATACAACCGTGTTATTGAACTGATTTAGTATTCACTTTGATTGACAAGTTGTTGGAGTTTTTTGTATAGTTTAATAAGTTTCAGCCAATAACATTTTCGTTTCTATCTGAATATTTGTGGGTTGTTTATTTTTGTTGTCAGTTGAATTTTGTATATTTAGGTATGTTAGATTCACATACTACTGTTTATACTTTTTAATTCAACTAACTTCACCAATGAATACAATTTCCTTTGTAATCTTTTTTGTTTACTTATTTGAGCAAATGTTTATCTGGTATCAGACATATGCTTTCATTGTTGTGTAGTTCCTGCTCTTTTATGATGTACTTTGTTTTGTTCATGACAATGGTTTTCATCCTTTAGTTTATTATCACTGTAGGGTTATGGAGATTGTTGAGTTTAGATTGATATGATAAATGGATCAATGTTAGACTACCATCGAAAACCTGGAGGCACTGGATGGCTGTTTCGTCCTAGTATGGGAATCCTCAGTAGTGAGCATCCACGATCCCGCACTCGGGACTCGAACCCAGGGCCCTCGGTCTCTCACGTGAACGCTTGACCTCTAGATCACTGACTCAGCATCTAACGGTGCTAATGTCTTACTTCAACCAATTCACAATTATTGATATTACTATTAACTTGATGTAATATTAGTGCAGTCTAATTCTGTAGTCAATTTTAGTCTTGCTTGATCACTTAGTATTTCCTGATAAAGAAGAGGGATAATATCAGGATTTTAAGACCTAGTAACTAGAAGGATGCTGGCTGGATACCGGAATCTCATCAACGTATCATACTATGACCATAATTCCTTACTTTAACTTGACCGTTAGTACAACAGATTAAAATAACCTATGATAGTGTATCATTAAATTGTTTTCTAATCAGAAAATTTTTATTATCGGTGCTTTAATTTGAATTCTAATAATTAATGATAAGATTATGACATTCAAAACTCTAAAATCGTCTTTATTTGTGATTTTTATTGGAACTGTTCAATTCATGCATTCTTGATTTGGCTTATGACATGTCTTTTGAACCTCATTCATGTTATTAAGATTGTTCATATGCAGTTCTCTGCATGCATTTGTAGCAAAAGTGCAAATGTATCTCAAACATTTTAAACATTTAAATGATATAGGATACTATGGATAGTTTTTATTCGACCTTCCACATGACCACAGTGTGATATTAAAATATAGGTGACTTAATCTACTTAACTAGTTATATTAACGTTTGTGGCCAGATTGTATTTATTAAGCCACGAATCACGTTTCTGCTTTATTTCTGCTTACTAAGCGTTGTGTGTAAAGATATATATATATATATATATATATATATATATATAAGGTATATCCATAGGATGTTACTTCTGAAAGGTGAATATTTACTGTGACAAGTTGTAGTCTTGTATACATGTATAATTGCGAAAATCAGTTAGTTGATAAAGAAGAAACTTTTATTTATATTCAACTGGTTCCGTTCTTTGTTTCTGATTGCTTGTTTCGTTGAATTCTGTCAAATATATGATGAAATAATGTGAAAAATGTGAGAAAATTGATTTTTTTGAAAGCAGACGACCAGATAATTAAATATCCTTACAAAAATACGCATAAACTTAATTACTAATTTATCTTTAAATGCAAAATTACCATCGATTTACCGAGGTTTGACGAGAAAAGTGTAGATAGAAATAGGCAGAGAAACATTAAAAGGAATCAGTTTCGTAGATACATACTTCTCATCTTCATTTCTCTCTATTTTCTTTTCTTTGTTTCCTTGTTGGTTGATATTCAGCTTCTTCTTGATAATCTTCAAAGCTTAGACGTGAATGCTTTGAATAACAAAGGTGAATCTCCTTTACATATTGCCTGTCGTAATAATTCTATGGAATGCATTGAAAAACTGCTTAAAGCTGGTGGTAATCCTATGATTGGTGAATTTGAATCATTTCCTATTCATATTGCTGTCAATAATGATTCACTTGAGTAAGTTTACTGTGAAATTGCTTTCTGTATGTCATCATTTCTAAAGAAATGGCTTGTATTTGAGGTCTATGGTTGTATACATCTATGCAGATCATGAGGTTTGAGCTTAGCGGTTTAAGTATTCAATCTTCAACTATCGAATCATATTTTCAAAGAACAATTTAAGGATCTATGAGTCAGGTTGTTTGGTATTATTATAAATCGTCATGCATTATACTCAATTGATAAATCAATCTACAAATATGTATATATTTACTGATTTGCATTAATTGTTTTCATGTTTAGACATATATAGGAGGGCAAGTTGATAATTGTGAATGACGTTAGTCGAGGGTAGTTACAGCAATATCACTATATTTAGGAGAAACATCTGTTCACTAGATTTCAATAGACTTGATTTTAGCTTACCATTTTAATCTGTTAGGTTGTCATTAATGACTCTACAAAGTTATACACTACTTCAGCTTCTTGTAAAGTCCAAATATTATGTTTTGCTGTTGTTGTCTGTGTTTTAGTAGTAGGATAACCATTGTACATTGTTACTTATTTGAACTTAAGGTTTACTGTAAAAGATAGAAAACTCGGAAAAACTGTGCAAGGTTTCATTCTATGTGTGTACTTCAGTATGTTTTCTTGCTTACTGATACCACGAGTTTTTTTACACTAGGGAATATTTCATTATCTCATGATTGCTAAATTAATGGACTTGTGAAGTTACCGAAATTATTGTTGAAGACAAAATAATGATTTATTAGGTATCGATTTCCGCCAATTTTAAATATGAATAGATTCCATATGTCAGTCGTCAGTCAAAGTCAACGTGAAGCCTGAAACAGAATTGCGTTGACCTAAGACGAAATTAACAACATAGGTAGTGAGGGAATCAAAGTAATATAATAGCGGTTATAATGAGAAAGGCTAAGCATTGAGAGGGATTTAAAATGATCTGAAGACATTTCTTGTAGCAGGAACCTCTCACACTCCGGGTTCACGATATTGGCATGCGTCACAAAGTCCTCCTATGGTTTTTTCACAAATTGGATACACTGGTATCTATTGTGAAAAACTGATGATCGTTCTCCAAATATGTGTGTCAGGCGTTCTACTGTTTCTCTGAAGGTTGTGTCGGTTGGTTTCTTTAGGAGAATAAAATTGTAAAACTTTTCATGTTCAGAAACTCCGAGATTTCGTAGTAATAATCTTAGTTACGAACCTTCGTCTCACTCTACAATCATTAATAAACAGATCCTCATGGCGCTTAAACCAAATCTAATTTCATTTATTGAATTTGCAATAGAATCCGAAGTCATAGTGGAATTAGATACCTGGGTTTTTGTGGATACTGACATATTCTTAACCAATAATTCGATGGGAGCATTTTGATGTTGCAATAAAGATTTCAGATCATCCATTTTATTGTTACAAAATCCGCTTTAACTGCATATATAGGCGTAGATCCGTTTTAAGCACCGTCACCACTGTTGTAATGCTCGGTTTGCTGGTCTACACGTATGGGACGTTAATTTGCCTTAGACGAATATCTACACTAAATACCCTTCCATTGTCTATTCTAAAGGATATCAACGCAACTCATATCAAGAACACGTGATTAGCCTGAATAGAACGTAAGTATATTTCCACACCAAAACTGACAACCATCACAGCAATAATAAGGGTAAGAAAATACATAACTCATCTAGTACCTCCCAGACTATCTACTAGGCTGACTAAACAAACAACCAATCACAATCATTCTCGCCATGCATCAGGTTATGATATGCTACTTCTGCTGTTTGTACCAATTACCAGTAGATCCTGTATTATTATTATTACTATTATTATTATTATTATTATTATTATTATTATTATTAGTAGTAGTAGTAGTAGTAGTAGTAGTAGTTGTAGTAGTATTAGTATTAGTATTATCAGTGGTATTATTATTATATCTTATGATCAATACTGTTAGGGGTTTGAACACTTGTTATTTGTAAAAGTTCGGTCGGAAAATGTTTCTGAAACTTTTGTTAACTTGCTTACTACATAGTCTATTAAAATTCTGTTTAGTTTGTATATAACTGTGTTTTCAACAAATGAAAACCTGGAAGCACTGGACGGCCGTTTCGTCCTATTGTGGGACTCCTCAGCAGTGCGCATCCACGGTCCCGCGAGCGGGATTCGAACCCAGGGCCTTCGGTCTCGCGCGCGAACGCTTAACCAACTGGACCACTGAGCCGGCATCCAATGGTGATAGTTTCTAACATCAACCAATCCACGAAATTGCGCGACCAACTTCCATTGTACTTAAGTAGATAACTGTCTCTACCCGACAAGGATTAGCTCCACTGGTCACGGCTTCTCACTAGAACTCCGAGAATTCCCTCACGAAGCTAGTCACTAGCGAGCACATGTTGATTACTAGTATAGGGGTTGTGGAGATTATTAAGTTTTTGATTAAGACCACATATAAGGTTATTGTATTATTATATATCTGTCATTAGTTTTGTTAAAGAATAAAGATAAAAAGGAAAATACATAGAAAACCGTAGTTTTTCCTAATCGGATTTTTCACAATTTACTATCTCATTAATTCATTATTCCTTAATAATGACGCGTGAGTACATATGATTAACAGTTATAAGTATTCAATTCAATTTATAGTTTAATTGTAATATTTGTATAGTCGGAATGTGTCGTAACATTATGTTTATTTCAGTGAAGTCTATTAAAAGTAGACACTATTTTTATTGCTATATAAAATATTCCTTCATTTCAACACTGACTAACAAATTAATCATATGCAATTTTTATTTGTTATTTACTGAATATATTTCTAAAGAACTAGATCCCATTTGATTTAATTGGGATCATTCTTTGAAATCATCGTAAAACACCACTGAAACTTTGATCATGTTTATATAATTGTTTTATGAATTGTATTATCAATGCTAATGTCTTTTTTAAATGTCAATTACTTTTGTGCAGAAAAAGAATAACCGAAGTTTTAAAAATGAAATAATTACAATTATAGTAAGAGAAGTAAGATTGTAAATATTTCCACAACCCCTATACTAGTAATCAACATGTGCTCGCTAGTGACTAGCTTCGTGAGGGAATTCTCGGAGTTCTAGTGAGAAGCCGTGACCAGTGGAGCTAATCCTTGTCGGGTAGAGACAGTTATCTACTTAAGTACAATGGAAGTTGGTCGCGCAATTTCGTGGATTGGTTGATGTTAGAAACTATCACCATTGGATGCCGGCTCAGTGGTCCAGTTGGTTAAGCGTTCGCGCGCGAGACCGAAGGCCCTGGGTTCGAATCCCGCTCGCGGGACCGTGGATGCGCACTGCTGAGGAGTCCCACAATAGGACGAAACGGCCGTCCAGTGCTTCCAGGTTTTCAATTGTGATGGTCTAACATCAATTGGTTCAAGATCTCTATCAAAAACTTAATAATCTCCACAACCCCTATACTAGTTTTCAACAAATAACAAGTTGGCAAAATTAAAAATGTAATGTACTTCTTATTTCACAAATAATTATTTCATATAGTATTGTTTGGATTCAATTGTTAGTATGCAAGTAGTTAACTGTCTTGGGTTAGGTCATTCATAAGTAAACATGCATGTGTATAGAAACACATAGTCTAACTCATCACTCATTGTTGTTTGTCGTGAGACGATCTTAATTCATCAAAGAAATTATAACCAAGACCATGAATAACAATCTCATGGTAAGTTTTTTTTATTGTCTCATTTCATTGAAGAAATATGGACGAGCACTTTTTTGAGATACATACTGGTCATAAGAATGAACCATTGAGAATGAATTCAAGTTTTGTGAAATCAATTGTTAGTTGAACGTGTTTAAGAACTAACAACTACTAAAAATTCGGATTTTGTTGGATCGCTACCGAAGGTGCAGGAAATGTTGATCTATTTCAATGGAATTACTTTGAAGTTGTAACCTGTATTTCCTGTTTTTTTTTGCTATTTATAATTCACCTTTTTAAGACATTTTTGGTGTTTTTAAAGGCTTCTTAAAGTTTCAGACAAAGATGTTGGTAATAAATCACTGAAATCATGAATGATACGTTGTGATATTCAAATATGTATGTCACTTTCCACCTAGTTGTTAATAATACTATTCTAATTTATTTTCACTACTGATTCCGTTAAACCGTTCGTTTTTTTCCGTCTTTACTAACGGAATCAGATTTCATAGTGACACATGGATAATACAAAGTCGGAGAGAAATTTCATCTGATTTCATGTAATATTTGGTGCATTTGTTCAGTTGAATGATAGGTTTTCTTTTTTAGATTTGTAATTCACCACTTGAAATCTTTTCATTGTAAAAGTTTGTACCTCACCAGCGCTTCTATATATATTTTTGAATTTCTATATTGTAATCGTGTATTATAAATTAGTTGTACTCGACAATTGTATCCTATCTGGTTTTCATTAATAATAATAGTACTGTCAATAATAATAATAATAATAATAATAGTAATGTTTATTCTATTTATTCTTTTTTCTACGTTATGAATAATACAGATGTGTTAATCTACTTTACACCTATTGTCCTAATTGTATCAATCTACCAGATTTAATAAATCACAATACTCCAATTCATTTGGTGCATAATCCGAAAGTAAGTATTTGATAATGGTAATAATAATAATAATAATAATAATAATAATAATAATATACAGTCATGACAGTTTAATAAATAAATAAGTTGTACATTTTATCTAAATGAACTCCTTGGAAAATTGCGAAATCTAGTTTAATGCAACAAAGTAAGTAGTTATAAATTATTGTATTCTATTTTGAACCACACTTTAATGTACTGGCTGATGATAGTATTTATCTGATTCAAATGGAATTAGATAAAGTTCTTAATTTGTTGACCAAGAGTCAAATACTTTAAATATGAAGCGGGTAGTTTTCAGTACATTAGTCAGTCAAAAGAATTTGACCTGGCATAAACACACAACAGCTCAAGTTGTTTCGCGATATCGGCACTGGAAGATGAACCTGATATTGATGTATAGTAAGGGAGTCTTAATAATAGTGGCATTAGTGGTGGTAAAAATAATTAAATATTAAGAATACAATTTAGAAAGGATTGTATTCGTGTAATAAAAGTATGAAATGACACTGCAAATGAAGAGCTAGAGGAAAGGTATAAAAAGAATTCACATGTATAACTGCAACAGATTTTGAGTCATTTTACTTAACGTCTCCAACCACTGATCATGATTATCTCGCTAGGTCCAACTAAGTGAATTTGTACCTTCCAATCAACTTTGCTTCAAAAGTCAATGAATTTATGGATTGATAAAATGTTTTTGTTTGAACTTCACTACATAGATGCCAATCGAAATGGAACTTTAATCAATTAAATAAAAAAGCTTTTTAATTACCGGTAGGTAGGAATTATTTAGAAAATCATTTGCATGTATGTCGGTTCAAGTTGATACACTTTAAGTCAATGGAAATTAATCACAGGAAGTGCAAATAAGTGAATATCAGAATATAAACTGTAACAAAGAACTGAAAGACAAAATATGAAGACAATCAAAAATAAACAGTGAGGTATGTACAATTGTATTATGTTTCATCCTTAGAAGAAGCCAAAAAATTGAGTGCATCTGAAAAGTTGGTATCAATTTTGAACCATCTAAAGTCTTTGAACGTAGCTTACGTTCGTCTACCGAACCCCAATCAAAAAGCGTACATCCATTGTTACATTGTTCACCTTAAGTCAATAATTTTATGAACGTACGCTTTCTTGTTCTGTCCACTCACAGCTTTTATCCAACTTAATTCCACACCACTTTACACAACACATGAAGTAGCTCGTGGTTGGTGATGCTTGGCACTTATCCCATACTTATCTGGTACATTATGCTTAGTATCAGCTGTAAGTACGCTACACTCTACTTATATCTTGTACTTCCAAACATGTTGTTTCACTACGTCAGTAGAGAAATGAATTCTCTCTTGTACACTCAAGATAATCTGAAGATGAATATCGAACAAGCTGTTTATTACCGTGACGACGGTTAGCTATAGGTGTATGTAAACGAACATAATATGCTGGTCCTGTATAATATTTCTAAGTGACTTTTTGAGAAAAATATATTCAAGACTAAATTCCTCAAAATATTTTTTAAATGAATGTTGAATGTTATAATAATTAATCGGATTTTCATATTGTCTTCATATTATTCCCTATTTCCCAACATTTTTTGTCAGCCTTAAACGTCATTAGTATCATTTAACTAAAGCTACTTGTTTTTTAAATCGTTTTCTAATTAGTCAAATTTATTCAGAAGTTGTGTACAATATAAGTAAATTCTTATTCATCAGTTCTTGTTGTTTTTGTTCGGACTGACGATACATTTTCTAAAATGTAATAATTTCTAAAAAATTTTACTTATTAGAGGTTTATAATATGGTGTTTAAATCCAACATATATATGTATCTATGTAATTATCACGTGATAAGACAAGTGTGTGGCAACTTCGCTATTGTTTTTGTAAACACTTCACAATGGCTTACAAAAATGCAAAAGTAAGATAATGAGATTAGTGTAAAGGTATTTGTTGAGGGTTCACAAATATCCTTCGATAAAGTCCCCGGAAGCCGAAATAGTGACTAAAAACGTTTTATTCTATCAGTATTGAACGGATGTTTCTCAGAAGCATGCAGAAAAGTAAGGGATTATGTATCACATTTCGATCGGATAATTACCTAGTCTGGTGCTACATATAGTAGTTTTTCGGAAGTTCCTAGAAGATCAAGGTCATCTAAAAACTTATACACTCCATTATCTGCACATAGATTAGTCTTGAAGTAAAACGTTTACTTGGATTTTATGTATTTGAGTTTCAGTGTAGTAGTCTGGGGTTGTAGGAAGCGCTTAGGACATTAATAACAGCTGTTCAAGTAGCAAACTTATTAATACTAGCATTCCTATAATAGACCATTCATTATTGGCCATCTCATCCGAGAGCTAGTAAAATTTGTTATATCATTGCCCTTGTCAGTTACGCACCAGAAAAGGTTTTTTTTACTGCAGTAGGGTTCTGTTTTGAAGGAGAGTTCTACAGGTTCTAACGATGACGATTATGCACATTTCAGTATTTTTAAAATGACGTACAGAACGCTATTTGATATACCATACGATATGGCTAACTGATGACTTCTTATGACATCAAATTATAGATGTAAGAAGCCAATTGAGCTGATGTACAAGGATATGGTGATTTGAGAGTAGAATACGTTTACTTCTAGTAAAATGACACTTATATACAAAACATCTAAATTAAAGATATGCGTAATTTGATGTGATTTAAGAAACAAACTTAGTTGAAGAGTTCCTTAGGTCACTCATTCTACAATCAAATTAGGATGACTACTGGGCCCGATTCTCCTCAGTCATATCGGGTTTGAATCCACCATCTAGATATCGTAATTGTTCTATACACATGTATTACTATTCTATATTTGTATTTAAGACAGCTTGTATGCCTTCGTATTATTTTCATTGATAAAGGTTAAGATCACAACACCATTTTCAAGCTGACGTATTCTTTCATCGGGGTACATCCGTGTGAATGCTAATATTCTTCCATTTTTGTTAGTTTTATCATTATGTGCTAATGCAAATGTAACAACGCGAAGATATATACCCCTCTCGTTTTTTATCACATAAGTTATACATAATTAAAGAATTTTAAAACATGTGTTTAATCATTGTTTTCATGGATAGTGCCTGCCTGGATTTTTTGTTTTATGTATTTCATCATATTGTTTAAAACGTTTCCTTAATTTGTACTGGGTACTTATATTGTTGAAAATTTCATGATGATGAATTAATCGTTACTGTTAGTTAGTCCTAGATATCACATCATATTTAAAAATCAATACAAAATGTATAAAGAAAAATATCTAAATAAACCTGTTGAAAATTAATTTTACTGATGTAAGGTTATATGTGTTATGTCAATTATATATACTTAGTCGATATGACTTATTCACAATATATAGTAAATTCTTCGTTAATAGTCAGTCGGCTACAACGTAGGACCGGGCACATATTTTCATCGGTCCAAGTTGCCACACCTCATTAGCATAACAAGATGAACACCAAATTCATAGAAATAGTTAATTCAATGGAGGTAATATATAAAAGAAAGATTACATATAATGATATGGTACAGAAAGTAAACATTAGTTGGTAGAAAGAAAGATATAAAACAATTTTAATCTTATAGTTTAAAGGAAGACAAAGAGTGTATACACCTACGCCATTGTGGTCGATTTTGAGCCATGTCACGCAAAGTCTGCAACCATCGGTTACGATAGTTGGGCGGACCCCAACCGAGTAGTTTGCATCTACCAACATGACTCAGACTAGAAGTTAGTGACTTCAAGGACTGGTGCGACGTTCTGATTTGACCGCCCCTAACGTTCTTCCATTCGTCTCCAACATTAGTCAGCATTGCGCGCCGCGGTAATCGGTGTATAGTTTAAGCTCCTCTGAATGCTGTTTTCTCCATTGAATGGTATGATTTATATTTGGTTCATTTGCCCAGTCACCCTCTATTGCTTTCTGCAGTATTCGTTAACATGAGTAGGTCATGAAGCGTTTACCACTAATTAGATCAAGACATGAAGTCATTGACTGTCTGAGTGAGGTGATTAACGAGCCTCAAACTTCCCTGTTAAGGTTTGCATTGTAATCGCACTATAAGGTTTGGAAGTGTTAGATAACTTTGTACGAAATCAATCGCAGTTGCGATGATGTAGTCATTCTTTAACTTTCTTCTAACTTTTAATGTTATTCATCCGATTCGTTCCACAATTTCATTGGTTTTTTCTCATTAAGGTCTCTGTGTTCAGTTTTCTTATTATCACTGATACTACTTCTGTTTATATTCATGTTATTTTTCTGTTATTACGCTAATATAAATTTTGCCCAGCAGCTATGGTGTCCAGAATTAACTGACTGACTAGAATCTAACATTACACTAATCAGTTGTATTAAATTTGATTTTATAGTATGGTAAAATATTTTTAAAGAATAGTTTGTCGTATTTATTCTCTATAGTCGACAAAATGCATATCAAAAGTACGTTTTTTGAAATCATTAATGTGAATTTTTTCGGCTTTTAAACTTTTGACATGTTATTAGTCTAGCGGTTAAAAATATTATGGCTAAATGTCCTGGTAAACAACTTTCTCGTATTAAATGATACTTTTTAAATACTTATATGGAACATTACATAATAAACAGGATTGTAACAGTTCACTTGATGTATACATAACTAAGGCTTTCTAACTTCCTTATGAAAGTTCGTCTATGTTTTGTAACTGGGTCTACCTTTAAAAATACTATTTTGTTAATTCAGTTATCTTTGTATTGAACTTTTCTCATTATCGATGATGATCTTACCAAGTCATGTAATTCATTTCTTTGTTGGTTTTTACACAATGAAAATGACCTTACAAAACTACGCGTTTGTGTGTTGCTTAAAAAAACCAAGCAATTTTTTGTAGTTTTAAGCATCTAGTCTTCTGTTAGTTAATCATAATAAAAAATCTAGTTGTATTAAACTTTTCAATACTACCACATTAAAACTTTGTTTGAAGTAAAATCATTTAGTACGTTTTTTCTCTGTATTTCTGTATTATATATGTTGAGTAAAAATCTAGCTTGTGTTATCATCTTAAGGTTGCTTTTCAGGTGAATATGCCACTGTGTAAATAAGCATTAACTCCGTATGATTCCTTGCATACAATTTGTGAGTATTATGTGTAGATCAGCATTTGTCTAGTTTTCACCATAAACATAAGATTTTTCTTTTCTTGTTGCATGAATTTGGTTTTTTATTACTTAAACTGTTAATATATGTAATCAATAAAGTAATGTTCACTGTTCTTTTTAAAAGAGTAAATATGTCGCCATTAAAAAAAGTCTGTAGGTTTTTTGTTAAAAAAATATATCCAATTTGTCATTTTCTAGACATATAGTTTCAATTTTATGCATAATTTTGAATCGTTTTTCTTTCAATATTAATGACATGTTTACTAATTGATATTTCACCATAATTCACTCTTATAGTCAAATGTTTCAATTTGTACATCAAATTACTAACCTTTTCATAATAATTTCAATGGTTAAGATCATCAGTCAGCTGAAGCTAGACCACCATGGAAAACCTGGAAGCACTGAACGGCCGTTTTGTCCTATTGTGGGACTCCTCAGCAGTGCGCGTCCACGACCTCGCCCCCTGCGAGATTCCAACCCAGGACCTACTGGTTTCGTGCGCGAGCACTTAACCACTAGACCACTGAGCTAGTCGGCATCCAACGGTGTTAATGTTTAATTACAACTAATCCACGAAATCGATCGACACATCCACCTTTGTCTTCACTGAGTTACTATCTCACAACAGACCTGGTTGAACTCCACTGATCACTGCTTCTCACTAGAACTCCAGGATATACTTCTTGAAGCCAATCACTAGTGAGCATATGTTGATTAATACCCTCTTCATAATATCTTACTGCTGGAAAACCTGAATAGGATTTCTTTTCGTCATTTCGACCTTTTTTAACTATTCATCTTGTTATTTTAATCTTACTATGTAGTATGAAGTAGAAACGTGTATCAACATTCACATGGGTCAGGCTGTATGTCCATAATAACTGACTGAATAACTTTTCCTTAAAGTTCACATTCTTATCTGTAATATTGAAAAGTATGTTACAACCTTAACCATAAGCATTGTTCTTTTGTATTCTATGTTGTTTATTCCATACAATTCAAGTTATAAAATATAAAGAGTTTTATCTTAGCATTCATAATATTCTGTACATCATCCAATGTTATAAACATAAACGATATATGATATATTGTTGACATTAGATACTCAGAAACAAAAATCGATGTATCACATAGAAGTAAATCTATTCAAATATATAGACACTCTTCCTTAATAGTTCAAAGAGAAAAAATAATAAAACGTTTAGTAAAAGAAAGTGTTGTTGACTAGATGTTTGAAATTATTAACAAATACAATTTGTATAACGTTATAATAACTAACTGAATGTTAATCAACTGATAATAAAATATGCTAGATTGTGATCTAGTGACTTCACATGAAATTGGATTTACTGAATTTTCTTTTTCACTGAAAATTCCTTGAATGAATGACTAAATAAAAATCACAGAATAAATATGACTAAATACAGGTATAATCTATGACTAGATACTTAAAGATTATTTAAAAACAATAAATTTATATAATTAAGCTTCTATGTAATATGTTCTTCTTGTTGTTCACTTTTTTGTCGAAACTGATTCTTAAGCCAACTTTTTACTGAAGACAAATACATATTAAATCTTTAAATCGTCGATTATAAAAAACTATCGATTAGACTGTCGAAGAAAGCCTATTCTTCTTTAAATCAACAATGTGATTAGGATTATAAATGAGGCAGCTTAATAAATTATGTGAGATGTGATCATTTAGACTGTTGCTACTAATGCATTTTTAATTTTTTCTACAGCATCGGTAATATGGTAGATTTTCATTGATGCATTAATTACTTCTTAATTTTCAATTTATTTGGAATGTTTTATTTTAATACTTCGATTACTTTTATGCTACCGGGTCTTTCATATTCATCCAATATTATCGCATCTTAGTATAGGATGGTGGTCGTTGAATTTTATAGTTTTACATTACAGATTGACTAAATGAGTGGTGGTCATACAATATTGCGAAAATGATTCGAGTTGGATGTGTAAATCATTAAAGTACCAACTCATTGTTCTATAGGTTAAATGATCATTACAGGGTCTGAAGGTCCTCAGCTTTATCTGTAATAGAAGTCATAAATGCACATTAAAGAAGGGTCCCCATACTGAAACAAAACAACTATCCGATGCTTCCTAGTTTTTAACAATGCTTTGATTTTTGCTGTCATCAGTTTAGTGATTTTTTTTCTTTTTTAGAATGAAAGAATAATATTTAGATTTTGTACCTTATCTGTTTTTATAAGAAAACAATCAATTTTATTATGGTATTATATTTTTATTAATAGTAAAACGATTGTCTAATATTTGTGTTTCTTACATGACTAAAGTAATGGTTGAGGTGAATAAAGTGATCGGTATTTTATTTTATTATTATTACAGTTATTTGTCGGAGAAATTATATTTGGTAATAAATTAGTATTCTTCTTCTGACTAATTAAATTTAGTTCTTTCTTTTTTTGAAAGGAAAAATTATTTGCTTTTTTGTTTTGGATTTATAGATCTTTGAAAGACTGTGTGAACTTGGAGCTAATTTAGATGCACGCAATGATTTAGGATTGACTATTTTACATATGAAAGTACGCGATAATAATTTCGAAGATGTTTTGGCCTTATTAGTTCGTGGTGCTGATCCAAATTTACGTAATGCTAGTGGAGCAACTCCTTTACATTATGCCATGACTGTAAGCTTTATCGTTTTTATTTTAATTATGGACAATAATGTGACACCTAGTAGTATTTATATCAATAAATTCATTGTTAGATATACTCACAACTTAGGTGCATCAAATTTAATTACTTCTCGTTCGGTACTCAGACAACTAGTCGACTTCTCACTGACCCTGTACATACCATTTATCACGTATTTCGTATTCTTAGACTACGAAATGAGAATTCAATATTCTATATTTTCAGTTATAATCAGTTTATAAGATAACACAATCCTCATTAAATGCTGTCAGCAAGTTATTACATTGCTCCAGATGAAGTGTTTTTCATTAGTCGTGGATTTTCTATTAGTTTCAAGATTTTTGGATTTTAACTAATACAGTTTAAAGGCATTACCCTCACCTTAAAACCGAGGTTATATATATATATATATATATATGAGAGAGAGAGGAATAGAGATCGTCAGTAGTCAAACATCTGATTAGTAATGGTCATTATAAATAAACAAAATTGATGAAGTCACTAGTATTTGTTCAATTCTAGAATAAATTACGACGGTAATAAATAATATGGGAAAAGTATGGGTAAATAGACATATCGTTGTATATATATATCTGTTTTATTTAGGTTCATGTTCTTCTATTCCATTTTAAATGTTTTTCACGAGATTTCAATACATATACACATACATTCATGCGTGAATATCACTTTTTTTCTTTTTCAGTATAATGCATCGATTCATATTATTCGTGCATTATTGGCATTTGAAGCGGATCCTTATGCTCTAAACAGTAATCAGCACAGTTGTCGACATTTATTATGTTGTAATGCTGAGAGGTGAGTTTGAAGTCATTTCGTCGATAGTTTTCTGAGGTTGTTTCTATTAGAAATATTGGTCACTGTGTAATCAGTTTTCTTGTTTTTGCTTTTGATGTAATTTTGATCATGCATTATTTTGAATTGAAATTTGTTCCATAAAACTGATATACTGATCATTAACTGAGTTATTTTCGTAAATCAAGTAATATGCATTTTCTTCGTTGAACCTACATTCGAAGTTGAAAATATAGTTTGTTGTAACTACTCTATTTGGTGATTTTTGCAATAATAATCCAGCTGTTGTTATTTCATAGCTTCGTTTTGTGAGTATTTCTCCTCAACATCATTTTTTTCCTGTTATCTAGCACACGGCATTAGGTTAGAGACTATTTCTTTTAAAAATAAATCATTAGTAAGTTGTGAATTACTTGATTTCTTAATTTACGATGTTTCCTGAAGCGTAGTTTATATGTATATATTGCTTTCATACTAAGCGTAAAATAATTATTGATGAGTCTATGTATTAGGTAATTGACTAAAGAGAAATGTTTTTGATTTTTCTATGTATCTTCATTTATAATTCTGTGCTAAGTAGCGTTGAGGATTTACCTTTCTTTAACATGGTTAAAAAGAATTTTAATTTAAAAATTAAGTTATTAGATAAATTAAAATCATTGTAGTTGTTGCTAAGCATGATTAATGTAGCTAGCAGTAAAATTCAAGACGCACGTTTTGTCTTATTTTGGACTCATCATCTTGTTCCTAGAGTTGATGTTTACATTGATACTCAAACCTATTACCTTTTTTCTTCACACGTTATACATTGAGCTGCTATGTTCAGTTTACAGTTTATTTGTTCAATGGTTATGAGAACACATAACGCTCATCTTGGTTTATACAACCAATCATAATTTAAATTTATTAAAACATGGAACTAAAGTCAACATCAAAGCGACTCACTCTAGATGCACATGTCTCAACAAAGTTTGGTCAAATCCAGTCCTTAATATACCGACTGTTGCTGCTACTTTGATGTGGTGGTCAGGCTTTCATATCGCGCTGTTGGCATTCGTTTGTTTAGGTCCTGAAAATGTAATCCGGGTAACTTTACTGAAGTAAAAAAACTTGATGATCTTTTGTCACGTAGACGAAATTTGTTTTTGGCATTTAGGCATATGGGTACAGTGCTAACTTAGTTGATATTTTTTGCTTAGTTTTTCCATTATTATTATTGTTATTATCATTATTATTATTATTTTAATATATGAATATTTATACACGGGGCCACCAAATATATATGCACCACACAAAAATCCTTTGGTTCGAGTTCAGGCTGAGATACTGAATAGAGGCCCAAACCGAGATGTAGAGCGATCTCTTCTCACACTCGGTCGTTCCAAGGGATTTGAGGGTAAGATTTTCCATAGTAAGAGATAAATTAATAAATATTTCCTCCGTTTACTACAGTTATTAAGCAAAGGTTAGCGGAAATGTAGCTGACTTGTCTGAATTAGGCTCTTTTATATTAATTGCAATTAACGACTACTTTTAAAGAAAATGATTTCCTTATATTACCTTCTGTTTGACTACGTCTAGAAGTAAGCCTACATTGACTTATTGATCATTTCTATTCTTTTTTAAACTATTTGTTCAGTCTTACTTTAACTTGAGAGTGTGATATGATTATTGGTAATATTTAGCAATCTAGATAATAAATTCCGTAACTTGTGTTTACCCTTCAAATGTGTTAAACCACAAGGCACTTTATCATATATTTAGGCCTATTTTCCAATTCATTGAAAATATCTGGACATGTATAGTTCATTTTTCTTGAAGAAATATAAGTCTCCTCCGTTGAGAAATGAAAGTACTCTTATTTACAAATTTTGCATGTTTTTGTTGTCAATGCGAAGTATGAGATTTTTACATATAAAGAAGCTATCACCATTTAAATAAATTAGGGATTTAAGTAAACGGATGAATATGCAGTTAATTAGGCTAATCCTTCGTAATATTTTCGATTGCACTATAGTGTCTATGGGAAAGATAGAAAATAGTTAAATGGCATGATTGTTACAAATCAGCACATTGATAATTAGGATTGCTTGAAACAAACGTTGGTTTTTCAAGCATGATGGATATTTTTATTAAAAAATTGCATATTACTTGTCACAAAATTTTGAAGTTGTATTTGATTATCTTACTTAAAATTCCGAGAGCTATCATTATTAAGAATAGTCTTTTATAATTTGGATTGTTATTTACAGTTCAGTCAAGTGATTTGTTTATAATGATTATTAAATTATTTCATGATCTCTCAAAGTTTTGCTAAGAGTTCATGACCCACCTGCATTACCAAGCAACTCATAAGTGGGTGTTATTAAATAATATTCACACCATATCACAATTAAATTGAATGATACCACAATGCTTTGACTACTATCTTTTGTGGGATAAAAAGATGTGGACTAATGAAGAAGATCGAAAGTGAAATTGACACAGTCTATTCGCAGTGCTTTCTTATTTGATTTCACAGTAATAACAATTCAATTATATACCATTTTATTATAAATAAAATAATATATTTGTAGCATCCCAACGAGTAGAAAAATTAGATTTTCTGACGTTTCGTGACTCCATCCAAGCTATTTCTTCAGAGAACAACTTACCAAATCAAAGTTAATCATGATCTTGCGTTGTTCCTTTGTACTATTTAAACTCGGATTAACTTTGATTTGGTAAGTTGTTCTCTGAAGAAATAGCTTGGATGGAGTCACGAAACGTCAGAAAATCTAATTTTTCTACTCGTTGGGATGCTACAAATATATTATTTTATTTATAACAATCTACCCAATGATCAATTTATTCGAAATTATCAAGTCAAATCTTGGTAATGATACCTACACTTTATCATAATTTGGTCATCAATAAAATCAATGTTTTTATGTCATTCAGTACAGATTTTTCGTAATAAAACATGAATAGTGAGTTTAGTACTAATCTTTTTTTTCATTTTTGTTGCTATAAATTTTCAGTTATGTACCTTCACCTGATCGGTAAGTTTAACTAATTAATAATATCTTTTAAGATTATTCAATATCCATGGAAATATTCTTAAGAATTTTGCATTTTTTCCACTTTTCACGTTATTATCTGTAATAAGATTTTAAGTAAATACATTTTCTGTTTACTTACGAAATCTTTTCAAGTTGTTATAAAATAAATCAATGATAGATTCTTTAACACTAACAGTGGTAAAACTGTCTTGTTTATATTAAACACATTTTTCAGATAAAGTGTAATATGTAAGCGTTTTGGGGCGGAACTATAATCCACAGATGGGCCAATGAGATTTAAGATAACGCCTTTATTCATAACCCTATTATAGGCCTATTAAGTAGCTGAAGTCTTTCAAGGTCATTTTGTTGTTGCTCTGTGTTCCATAAACAGTTTTATTTACATAAGCTACAGTCTAGTTATCATTTATTTTTTGTGTTGTTGTTATGGGAATTAGACCCAAAGATAAAGCCTTATTGTCTGAAAGGTGTTAGAGGGATACAAAATATTACTCAGAATAGTCCATGGGAATGCTGAAAACGCTAGAAGACATTTTATCCAATCAGTTTTGGGTAGAAGCTTCTCGAAAACATCTAGGAAGTCGAGAGTTACGTGTCAAATTTCTGATCTCTTTTTGCTTGATAGATCGTGGTTACTGTGGAATTGAAAACAGTCGCAGTTTTGTTGCCTCTTTGTATATTTCCCTATTTAATTATCCTTAGTAAATACTGTTTCATGTGTGTTAAATGTTTTGTCAGCCGACCCCAGGTACCCTTATCGCTTAGTATTTTTCAAACATTACTTCACACGACTAGTCCTCAAAATCAGAACATAGTTTGAACAGGTGCGTGATTATATTCCAAACAAACGAAGTGAATCGCAGTAAGAAAAGCATTAGTAAATTTATAATTTTACATAAGAAGTTTCTAGAGTTTTCCCCGATTATCCGCTAGCCCTGATTGGTTAGGAAAAAGCCAATCGGCTCGCTCCGATATAATACTGGATGAAACATGCTTTAGTCCAATCCTATCCTGCTCACAATGTGTATCAATACGCCAATCAAGTAACGTGTTTTAATAAATATCATTTTTATTAAGGTTTTGTACAAACCATAATCGTCTTGTATTTAATCGATAGCAGTCATAAGGTGAATGTTATCTACATTATTTTAAATTATTTACTAAATCAAACAATATCTTACCATAAGAGTTCTGTCTATTCTTTTATTAAAGTTGTAAGTATACTCCGGACATTCGCTTTTCGTCCTCTCAATTTCGTAGACACCACCCCCTTCCCGAGAAGGCAGTAAGACGTCCCTGGCAGTGGCTGTATACGCGCGGCCATGTGAGAGCGTTTCGAGACGGAGAGTTGAGTCTCCCCGCCTTCAAACGTACCAGGGCATTTGGGGGCTGGTTCCGGAACCCGGGAACGAACCGGGGATTTATTTCTTACTGGTTCTACATTTAGTTCATATCACTCATAAGATGTAATTTGTATTAAACATATTTTTGTAGTGATTACTTCGAAATAAATATTATGTAGAATTTATGACTGATTTCAAATATATATCTTGTTTTATGTATTCATTGTACTAATGTGTATCATTTGATTGTTAACTGGTAAAAATAATTTTGTAATTGTGTTATAATTCAATTGCTTATTCATTGTATGTAATCAAACTTTTTCGTCGTGGTTAATTAATTATTCAAATTTGTTCACTATGCATTAATATATAGTTAATGTTAAAATGACCTTGGTGGAGTTTTGTTCTCTGAGCTGGGTGGTTTGGTCGTGGAGCTTTCATCGTTCTTCTGAACGACATCATCAGCACAAACTTCAGATAGAAGTGAAGTGTTCGAATTTCTCCATGTGTTTCACAGCTTGTTCTGTGCACCTCGATGTTGATTAATTCTTGTTGACCTTAAATTTATCATTGTTTACTTCTTTGTTTTGGTTATGTCTCCCATTGGTTTGATTTTTGTTCCTATATTTATGCATGATTTTCCTGAGTGGTTGATAAATTAGATTGATTTCAATATGTTTGTTGATTGCTGATTGACCTGAGTGCCAAGCTTCTAAAAATTCTCTGGTGTTTTTGTAGTTTCCTCTGTCTAAGATTTCTACATTTTCCCAATCGAATGAGTGTCCGTAGTTATCCACGTGTATTGATATAAGTGAAGAGATATCATGGCGCTTGACTGCTAATTGATGTTCTTGTAGGCGTAGGTGGAGGGGGCGTCCGCTTTGTCCGATGTAGTGTTTGTCACAGTTGGTACAATTTATTTTGTAGATGATGTTTGATTTGTTTTCCTTTGTTATTTCATCTTTTGGTTTGCATAGGGTTGATTGCAGTGATTTTGTTGGTTTGTGTGCTACACCTACCCGAAGGTTTTCAGCAGTCTCGTTGCGGTTTCTGATATTCCTTGTATGTACGGTAGGGTGATCCTTTTGTTGATTTTTGTGCTTGATTTGTGTTCTGATGCTGTGTGCCGTTGGTATTTTTTGATGAAGTTGATTGGGTAGCCGTTCTTTTGAAATATGTCCTTCAGGTATTTCTCTTCATTCTTTCGTGCTGCCAGTGTGCTGTAGTGTGTCCTCGCCCTCTTGAACAATGTGTGTACGCAGTTGATTTTGTGAGCTCTTGGGAGAAATTCCAACACTTCACTTCTATCTGAAGTTTGTGCTGATGATGTCGTTCAGAAGAACGATGAAAGCTCCACGACCAAACCACCCAGCTCAGAAAACAAAACTCCACGAAAATCATCCACCTGAGCTACAAATCTTCTCCACCATGTTAAAATGATCATTAAGTAAAAATGTTGTACAATTTTGAAGTAGTTTTTGTTATGAAATAAAATCAAAATCTAGAAAACTGTTAAAAATCAAAACGTTAGTTATTATTATTAAGCAATTACTTTTTTAACCTTGTCTTATTATAAAACTTCGTCATAGCTTCTCATGTAAATTAAAATTGCAAATATAACAAATACATTATCGTTTACAATGGTTCATTTTTTGTTAAAGATAACATCAATTCATGCCAAAAAATACATTCAGATTAATTTTGCGCAACAATCTTGTATCATGTGGCTCGATTGTATAAAAATTGCTCAAAATGTTCAATTTAAACATGAAATAATAATTCTTATGTTAAACTAGCCAAAATTTACTTGGAGTATCTCAGAAGTGTAGAAAGCACATGATTAGTCCTAATAATAATAATAATCTCAAGTAGAGTTTTACTTTTTATCGGTAATCTGAATGATTCTTAATATCTTTTTAGTTGACAAAACACTAAGTAGAAGATCTCTCTCTTTTTTAATATTTCGAAACACGACAATAATTTATGACATATTTATATTCATGTATATTTAATTCCATAAATTCTTTAAATTTTGTACAATAAAAAACTGATCATCACTTTTCAATTTACTTATCAGCTGATATAGTTTTACAAGTGCATGGATAAGCACGAAATAGAATCATATGGATACTACTGATGGTATTTTTGAGTAACACATGAGTTAAAGTCTGGAAAAGCTAATAATAAAACCTTAATAGTGCCAAATAATAATTATATGATCTCGATGTGATTATGCAAGTGATATTGAATGACTAACTGAATAATTCGAAGAATAAAGATCATAATAAGCAGAGTAATCGTTTTTAATAATTAAAAATATGTAATTAAACGGTTGTTAGATTACATAATATTTAATAAGGGAATGAACGAAGTATTTTGAGAAAAAGTTAGTGTTATGATAGTATTAGACTATACACGATATCATTCTAGTATGACTTTTCTATTAAAGCTCACAATAAGTTCTAGAGAGCCTAAAGCGAGGTTAAATCATCGGCCACAGAACTCAAAAATTGATCAATACATTGTGATAACTATGGATTTGAACAGTTGATATATATTTTTGGAATTCAATAAGTAATAATTAAAAAGTAAATAAAAAAATATTTTGAAAGTGGATAAAATAGCAATTAATTAAGTAAAGATTGTTTAGTGTATAGTATGGTGTATCTTTCTGTCCTTGATTATATTATCTCTTATAGCCACACTTAAAGTTTGTTCATAATATGCATATATATTAACACATTATGTAGATAGCAATCTCTTTGTTTATAACTATCATAGCGTTCAGATTTATGTATCGTGATTATACAAACTGCAGATATCAGGTTATTTGGGTCACTATGACTTACTTCAGAGGTGAATTAGTATTGAAAAAATAGTTTATGGTTATTTTTAAATTCATTGTTAAAGTCTGTGCCAAAAATTAGATTTTTATTTGCTTCCATTGTGTTGACGTATAAACATAGTACTTCAGTTTTCTTTTGTTCTATCAATTATTTCAATAATTCATAAACTGTTTAAAACGTTGTATGTATGTGAATCGATTAAAGTTGCCGTACCTTATTAGCACAACGTGATAAAATTATTACAACAACAAGTAGTAACTATCAGTGGTAATAAAGGAAACTAAGTATAAACTATATGGTATTTTAACATAAACATTTAATCGTTGTGAATGATGAATGATTCTCGGCCATGTCATTCAAGCATTGGTTACTATGATTATGAAGACTCCGACCTAGTGGTTTGCATCTACCTGCACGGCTCAGTTCATCTGTTAATGATTTCATGGACCGATGTTACATATTGGTTCGGCCGCTCCTAACTATCTTTCAACCTCCTATATAAGCAAATGTCTGATTTCTTAACAGAAGACGTTTGGGCCTAAGTAATGAATATTCTATTCAGTCGATGAGGATTCACTACATGGACTACTAATGCTCCAAAGACATCTATAAGCTAAGTACTACTAATCTACAAATCTCTATTTCTAAAGGTAGAAAGAAATGAGCTGTTGCGCAGTACACTCATAATCTATTTGAAAGATTGACATCTGGCCTATGCTATAGGTGAAAAAAGTTGACAAAAGCCGATCGAGATTTTTGAACTTGTACCGAGAGAGAATCAGACACCTACCCACCAAAACTGATAACCCGACCAGGATAAGATTGTCGATGCACTCAGCTACTTCAATCCCTGCCATTAATTTATGCGTTGTCATAGACTCACCCTGAAGTAACGTTTCACACTTATGGGGAAAGAAATGCACCCTAAACATGATCACATTATCGAGTCAAGTGGTCAAAACACTGTACTTTGTCAGCTTCCTTGCAGACAGAATTATATTATGTTCGTACACTGGCAAGAAAATCGGTCACTGAAAAGTCATAACAAAAGCGTTATCTCTGAAAGACTTTCAGAAAAAAGTTAACTAAGGGTGAGAAAAGTGGGAAGTTTTGGGAAATACCATTAGATGTTGTCAATTTTGATGGCAGTTCGCCATAAGCTTTGATTCAATCATTCATGTTCATGTGTAGAACATTCATAGAGTGTATATACTTCTTTACTATGCTCTTTAGTGTCAAATGCTACCACAAAACCTGGCGATTGACAGACACGAATACTATACTAATGTCGAAAAATACAAGTATTCTTAGGCGTGGGTTTGTTTAAGCTACAAAACGTAACAAAAGGGTTGTTTTTTATTATTGAAAATGATATAACTAATTGTAATCACCAAGACTCCTTAGTTTGCTTCTTTTCTATTCAAAGTTTTCAACAGTACATTTATATAAAATTAAAAAGAACAGTCAATTCTATTTAAATAACTAAGCAGAGGATTTTCCTTAGTAAGATCATTCAATGTTTGGGGATAAAATGGTTTCAAATGTGGTCAAATTCAAAGATTTATTGTAATTATTGCGAAATCAAAACAATTTTCTATGATATAATAGTTGTTATTATTTACATTTTTAACAGCTCATTTAAACCATTACATTCTGCTTTTACCAAGTTTACAGTTGTTTAAATTGATCTTTCTATTTGATAGTGAGTTACCCTTATTTTCTCATTTTATAAATATTACGATGAATAAATAATTTTACTATTCAATGGGTTCAATATAATATAATCTTTTGAAGTGCTATTTTCTATGTTCATTTACATGAAATCTTCCTTAATTAGAATAAAACGAAATAATATAATTCTAGTCAGTTTTCATATTTTCATTGTCGTTATTATTATTATTATTATTATTATTTTAAATATAATTAATGTTGAAATCTTCAAATTAATTACTTTGTTTCGTTCCTCTTTTTTAAAATTTTTTTTTAAAAATGTCTATGTAATTAATAAGAGTGGAAATGAAACTAGGTCATTCACAAGTATCCTTAGTTGAGCTAAATATTCATGTTAGAATAAAACCTATATTACTTACTTATACCTGTTACCCCTCGTGGAGGAGCATAGGATGCCCACCAGCATTCTCCATCCAACCCTGTCCTGGGCGGTCCTTTCCAGTTGCTATTCATCCTTTTCATGTCTGCTTCCGATTCCTGACTCAATGTGTTTTCTTGAGCCTACCACTTTTCCATTCCCCTTCAGGATTTCAATTTAGCGATTTCATCGTGATGCGATTTGATGACTTCCGCAATTTATCTCCCATCCACTTCCATCATCTTTTCCTAATTTCCTTTTCAGATGGAAGCTGGTTTATTATCTCCCACAGTAGGCTGTTGCTGATGGTATCCGGTCGACAGATATTGAGTATCTTACGTAGACAATTGTTTACAAATACTTGTACCTTTTTGATGATGGTTGTAGTAGTTCTCCAAGTTTCGTCTCCGTACAGTGGGACTGTCTCAACATTCGTACTGAAGACTCTTACTTTGATACTAGTTGACAGTTTTTTTTAGTTCCATAAGTTCTTCAATTGTAGGAATGCTCTCTCTTCCACATATTTCTGCTAGTCGGCTCTAATGCTCCTCTTCATTAGCTTGTTTTCCTCTGTTTGTTCAGCCTGTGCCTTGATTTTCTCTGTTCCTGTTCAGCTGTTGTTAATTGCTGTCTTCTTGTTCTTCCTTTCTTGATTTCGATAGAGATCCATTCCTTATTATTTTAATGTATTACAGTTTTCAATCAATCCTTGTTTATGATAGTCCAAACGTAAATAATTTATCATCAATGGTGTATTCTATTGTCATTTCTTTCGTGTATTTCTTTTGTTTGTTAATTGATCATACTTAAGGGCGCTCACAACCATGTTGGGCAATTAGTTTTCATACAATTGTTTTAAAGAAATATGATTAGTTTCGAGAAAATGTCTTTAAGTTCGAATGACAACCGTTAATGGATAAATTTCATACAGGCTGAAAGTGCACCATATATCGTTTATAGGAATGGCTTTTCTCGTAATATCGTAAGTTTAAACTCTAAACTATTGGATTCTGACTCAATGACCTGAGTTGGAGGTGTGAAGTTTCTGGTTTCGTTTCCTGTCTAGGTTATAGATGCTTATCGTTGAGGAGTCAGTCCCTAAACTAACATTGAACAAGTGTTCATAACTCTTTGTTTCTGTAATGGTTCATCAACTGATATCAGTTCGTGACAAAGATCGTATTAAAAATAGACATCAGTTGTTGTTTGTTACAGTAAGTTATTTTTGATTATTTGGTATCTGGTAATTTCTAAAATAATTATATTGACTTACAGATTTTGGGATATTGCTTAATACTACTGGTAATGTTAACGGTTATATTGATCAATGTTTTTTCTTCCAACTTGTTTTTTTTACGGTAAAGAGACTTAGCCCTGTACACTTTGGATGCATTAGGTATCAGTCGATGTCCTCCTGGGACTGTGGATTGTACAGAAGGTTGTATGGACCTAGAATGTGCTGAAAAACGTAATCTATCTGTATTTAATGGTACACCTCCAGAAGTAGTTCCTCATTTAGCAGATATCACACGTGAATGTAAGTTGCTCTGTTTACCAAAACTGCGCTATATATATCCTTTTATTTATATTCTGGATGGATAGTTTGTAATCGTCTTGTTATAGAGGATATATGATACAATGACTTAGATGTATAGTATTATGCTCTTTTGTTGTGGTATGAGTTGCAGTCCAGCCACTGTAACATTCTTCTAAACGTTTGGACAATTTAGTTAAAGTACGAATCAAAGAATGAACGGGAAACTATATTGGTGAATACTGAACGATTGTAACTAGAACTCGTGTCTTCTGAAAAGGAAAGAGGCTATGTTCGATAAAAATGTTGAGATGACATTAGCTAATTGAATAGTTACTGTAGTTGTTTTGCGCTTTTATCTGCCTTTTTATAAAAATGCGAAACACCATATGACTTATTTAGTTCTTTTGGTTTGTTATATTGTTTCATAAGACTGAATTCCTATTCATTTCTATTTTATTTTGCAAATAATAAGTTTAGCGTACCTACTAGTATATGAACTCATAAGAAATTATTAATTTTCATTTACATTTGTTATTGAAAAGCACGATCCTGATTTAGTCTTTTCGGCTTCTGGTTGACTTGTTCGCTCTATTGATTTTCAAACCTGATCGTTTTTATTACTTATTCGAAGTGAATCTCTGTATGCTAATAAAGCTGGAATTTATATTTTGTGATGAATAATTCATAAACTAATTAATTTTTTTATATCAACGTTAAGTTCTTATTCAACTTTAGTGATCAAATATGATTATAAGTGGTTAAATTTCAGCTATAAATACACGGCTCCAGAGCCTATTTCATCAAACGGAAGTAAGTCGGTTGGCACTTCAAGTCGTGCTAACTAAACAATGAACACTTTGTTCATTACACAGCTCCAAAGTAGAGCATTATTGATAATTAACAAGTTGTCGATACGTAATTTCTTTCAAATTCAATATAGTACTCTGGTTTAAAAACAGACAAACAAATATTTATTTTAATGTAAGTGCACTAATCTTTTATTCAACAATTATAACATTTTCGTGAGATTATTTCATTATATTCAGTTATTACAATCACCGTAATTCTATACATTCACCTACTTTCTCGAAAAATAGTTATTTTTGTTTCTAGTGATGTAGTTTTATGTACTATAGTGTTCTTCACAAAAAAATATGAAACAATAAACGCCTCGACTAATCCGTATCAATAAATTTAACATAACACAAAGTGATAACATAGAACTGGTACGAGTGAAAATTCATTGACTCTGCAAAAATACGTCTTCCACACAAGTCGTCCAAAATCACATCATCACTAAACCAAATACATTCATTCATACACTGATTTTGCACACACTTGATGATTCTAATGAAGTTTGGTTCTCTGAACTGGACGGTTTGGTCGTAGAGCTTGCATTATGACTTCACTTTTATCTGAAGTTTGTGCTGATGATGTCGTTCGGAATAACGATGAAAGCTCCACGACCAAACCATCCAACGCAGAGAACAAGACTCCATCGAAATCATCCACCTGAGCTACAAATCTTCTCTATCATCTCACTTGATGACTCGATAGTGAACATCATATTTATGAAGAGATGCATAAGGTTACTAGTAAAACAGATACAAAATTCGTACAGAATGATATAAAAAATATAATTGTCACACTGGAAGGATGTTTACACCTGTCATACTGATCAAAATTGAGACTTAATGATTACGAAATATATTAACCTGAGATTATGTCACACTGGAAAATATAGACTCACTATAATATTGACTAAATGTTACACTAATGGTGAAATCAATGTTGAATATCACGCTGATAAGAAACTAACATTTTACTGAATAAAATATCATGATTTGTTGCACTGAGAAAGAGCAATATGTAAACTTCTGTATTCCGACATATTACCTTCATAAGTTTGTCAGTAATTAGCGTACTTTAAGTCTATCCTTGTGGGTCATTTGTTACGGAACCTTATGTTAAATTCTGGTTGTTTTTATGTTACCGATCACTAAGTTTCTTGTCTATTCTCACTGAAATGTAATAATCTTTTTCGGAACTCCATTTTCTTTCACTAAGTACAAACTTTAAAAACTGTAACGCAATAAAGTAAATGTATATGAATTCATTAATCAATATGACTGTTATTGTAATTCATCAGTTCACTAGTTATTCTACAGTGTTTACACTAATTATTAAAACAAAATACTATTTTATTTCGCAAAAATATCTTCACTACTTGTATATGATATCTTAAAATTAATTATTTAATTGTTTATTGTTAAATTATAGCAATTGAAGAAATTCTCTTATGCACTACTTCAGTTGATTATAACCCTTCACTTCAAACAAGTCAAATGACTCAATCTCAAACAATGTTGAATAATGACTTATCAAATGGTATGATTCCACGTTCATACAATTCTCATTCAGAAAACCATGATGTAAATCAGAGTAATATTAAACAGCGACATTCACAACAATTTTCACATACTCCAAAGTCGCATCGACGAATGGTATCTTTACCAAATGATAATAGTGTACAGTTAGTCAGTCAATCCCTGTCTAACGGTAGTGTACACCTGGCATCTTTTAGTGTTCGTAAGTTGAATTCTACTTTGTAGATATTTTTTGATATCTAAACTAATCATAACTCCATCTGTAGCTCTTCTAAAGCTACTGCCAGTTCCAAGCCCACACAAAGGAGGAGGGTTGGACGTGTAGTCGACAATCCCATACCGTAGAAAACAACCTTGTTAAGAAAAATGCTAAACAAATTAAACCATTTAGTCTGCCCTCCTAGTTGAAGGAAGAATCATGACACCTCATAATGAAATTCGAGACCTATGCCCATTCTAACAACCAGAGCAAACATTTTTATCGGTACATAGAACGTCCGGACAGTGTGGAAGACCGGGAGGATCAGTCAAATAGCAACGAAAATGAGGAGATACAAATTGGTGCTTCTTGGAATCAACGAAACCCATTAAACCCAAGCTGAACAGAAAAGGCTAGATACGAGAGGGATGCTTCTATATTCCAGTCATGAACAGGAAAATGCACTAAGCACTCAGGGAGTTGCTTTGATGCTGGCCAACAAAGAACGAGATACACTTATAGGATGGAAATCTCATGGACCCAGGATCATAAAAGCATCATTCAAAACAAAGAAAGAGAATCAGAATGAATGTTATCCAATGTTATGCACTCACCAGTAATAGCAACGACGACAATATAGATCCGAAGGACACCTCATCAAAATACCAAAGAAAGGAGATCTAAGCAAATGTGAGAACTACAGAGGCATTACACTACCGTCAGTCCCCGGAAAACGTTTTCAACAGAGTGTTGCTGAACCGGATAAAAGACGCAGTAGACTCAAAAATACAAGATCATCAGGCTGATCTCCGTAAGGGTCAGTTGTGCACAGACCAAGTTGCGACACTACGGATCATCGTTGAACAATGAGTTGAATGGAACTCGTCACTATACATCAACTTCATTGACTATGAGAAGACGTTTGGCAGTGTGGATAGGAGAACGTTATGGAAACTTCTCAGACACTATGGTGTACCTGAGAAGATCGTCAACATCATACGGAATTCATACGACGGAGTTTCAGTGCAAAGTGATGCATGAAGGACATCTGACAGACGCATTCCAAGTAAGGACCGGAGTTAGACAAGATTGCTTACTCTCCCCCTTTCTCTTTCTTCTGGTGGTTGATGGATTATGAAGACCTCGACATCTGACGGGAAGCAAGCAATACAGTGGACAGCTCGGAATCAATTAGAAGATTTAGACTTCGCAGATGACGTGGCCCTTCTATACCACACACACACACGAACAAATGCAAATGAAGACAGCCAGTGTGGCGGCAGAAATCTCTGCACTAGAAGGCCTCGAAATACACAAGGGAAGAAGCAAGATCCTCAAATACAACACGGAGAACACCAATCCAATCACACTTGATGGAGAATACGTGGAAGAGATGGAAACTTTCACGTATCTGGGAAGCACCATCGATGAACAAGGAGGATCTGATGTAGACATAAAGGCGAGGATTGGCAAAGCGAAGAGAGAATTCCTACAATTGAAGAACTTATGGAACTAAAAAAAACTGTCAACTAGTATCAAAGTAAGAGTCTTCAGTACGAATGTTGAGACAGTCCCACTGTACGGAGACGAAACTTGGAGAACTACTACAACCATCATCAAAAAGGTACAAGTATTTGTAAACAATTGTCTACGTAAGATACTCAATATCTGTCGACCGGATACCATCAGCAACAGCCTACTGTGGGAGATAATAAACCAGCTTCCATCTGAAAAGGAAATTAGGAAAAGATGATGGAAGTGGATGGGAGATAAATTGCGGAAGTCATCAAATCGCATCACGATGAAATCGCTAAATTGAAATCCTGAAGGGGAATGGAAAAGTGGTAGGCTCAAGAAAACACATTGAGTCAGGAATCGGAAGCAGACATGAAAAGGATGAATAGCAACTGGAAAGGACCGCCCAGGACAGGGTTGGATGGAGAATGCTGGTGGGCATCCTATGCTTCTCCATGATCAGTAATAGGCCTAAGTTAGTAAGTAAACTGATTATATCTAGAAAATTGTTAAAATTGTCAGAATATTGAACGACGTACCAACTCATAATACTTCTTTCTTTAATATATATATTCGTAACGTTCAATTCAATCCTCGTCATAGCATTTCATCAATAAAGATGAGTGATATGATTTGATGTAAGTTTAATCAGGGGTCAAATTATTCGTGATTTTTTTTATGTAATTTTGTCCTGGGTTGTCTTATTTTTTACTGACTGGAAAGTGTGCAAACTACCTCTTTGCAAATAATCAACACTATCGAGCATTCTCTCGCTATTCTTAGAGAGCTAGCTAGTTAGTTTTTAAGAGTTGTATTTTTTAAGGATATATTTTTCAAACAACAAGCTATTTTCAAAAAGTGATTTAGCAGATAGTATATATATACGAACTCTTATGTTTGGGGATTTGAAAGTTTTCTCACTCTTTTCCTGATTGAAAGTAACTGAAGTGTGTAGATAGAAATTAAAACAGAAGTGTCTCATCATATATTTTAGATGGCTACATATGTTTCCCTAATATCACGTTTATATTCATAAATGTTTATTTGTTTTTTCATTGGTTGTTTAGTTGTTTTAACACATTATGTGTAGGTAGTTTGACCTAAACTTAGTTTATCACAGTTAGTTTATTTCTTTACAACTGTTCGTCTTGTTTAGTCTCTTTGGTCTCAATAATTATAGCACTAATATTGATTGTTCGGTGTAATTATTTTCCCTCATGAATGCTAACTTTTATTGACGGTAGCTACGCCAATAATTGTTTTTTTCCACTGGGCGTACTTACGCAATTTTCATAGAAAAATGTCATAAATTCAAACGATTCATTGCAGAAGTATAATATTTTAGCAATTTAAAAGTTCTCATAGAATATTTGAAACCAAATAGCACCAAACCAAGTGACAGCTATCGATAACTTCTTCAAGCGACTCTACTGTTATGCATCAAATCATTATTATTATTATTATTATTATTATTATTATTATTATTATTATTTTGTAACAATTAACAAAATATTAAAGTTGAATTAATCCATGTTCTAAATTGAAGTTGGTAAATTTCACATCGATTTAGTCGTAAATATTAAAAAATATTCAATAAAATAGAGTCAATAGAAATGCTAAGATGAGATCACACATAACGGTCAAAACAATTATATGCTTTCGGGTGATCACTTGTGATCGGTAGATTAAGATTCTATGTAGAAACAAGTTAATAAAAAGTAGGAATTATTGTACTGTAGTTGTGATTATAATAGTAATCATAATAATAATAACAACAATAATTATTATTACCATTAATGATATTAGCTGTTATTAGTAAGAATATAATGTGAATAGGACGAATGTATAGTCAAGGTTAAGTAAAAAATATCTTACAAGGGAGTACAAATCACGATGAAGGGTATGCGACAAAACTAAAGCAGCAAATTCATGGATGTGTATTTACTTTGGTGACCGTTCAAATCCAAACTATTCATCTGTATGAAATCCCGTATTATTTGCACACTATTGTGTTTAATAAAAAGTATCTTAGTAAACTGTCTTAGATTCTGTTGACAGTATGCACATAGGTTTCTAGCTAAATTGTATCACTCTGATTTGTTATCAAAGGTTAGGTAAATAATTAAGTGAAATCATTTGATAAATTTCACATCATAAACTGTTTTTGGACAGGAAAATCTCGGAAGTACTGAACAGTTATCTTGCCCTAGTACAAGATTCCTCAGCAGTATTTTTGAACGATTGTATATAACGTTGTTTTGAATGAGAATATAAAATGAAGTAACAGAAATTTCATTATTACTAGTCATACTGTAGTGAACGAAGACTTGGTGGGGACAACCAATTTATTTAGTTCAAAACTACAAAGTTTCTTCGTAAATTATGAAAACCTTACATTACATACTCCATTTGCACATCTTCCATCAGTTTCTCTTTACATACTTTATAATTCTCATAATGCTCAATTCTTTTATGTTTCCCTATCTGTTCAGTTCAATCTTCTCAACCTTCTTTTGACAGACATTTCGCATCTGATCAGTGTTACCTACTTCTAATATCCGTCAACATAATTAGCATGCTCTACAATACAACTACTACTGGTACAAAATATATACATAATTTCACAATTTAGCAAATTGTTAAAGCTAGACATAAACACCGTTGGATGCTAGGTCAGTGGTCTAGAAGTTAGGCGTTCGTGCGTGAGAATAAGGGCCCCGGGTTCGATTCCTAGATGCAGGGTCGTGAATGTGTATTGCTGAGGAGTCTTATACTAGCACAAAACATCTATCCAGTGCCTTCAGGTTCTCAATGGTTGTTTAACGAAGATCAGTTCGTGATCTGAACCATGAAAGTTTGTCACGTAGTTTGCAGAAAATATAATGCAAAACATATCTGAAACTCAGCGGACTACAGAATCAATAATTCAGGATTAAATTTCTGAAACTCAAATCATTACTTGTTCACTGAAACTGTTTGGCTAACGATGCATGAATCATTGATTATTTGTTAGTCTATACAGTAATAAAGTTCATGTTTTTCTGTCCACCGACTACAAACATCTGATATCAAAACAGAATACAAAACATAATATCACTCCATTTATAGTATTTATTACATTACTAATCACCTGAAATCGATGTAACTCTTATAGGTTAGACATGATTGGTTACAATCAGAGAGGGTTTTTTGTGGAGATTGTAGTAATTTAATGAATAAATTCATGAGTCAATTGAAGCTAGACCACCACTGAAAACCTGGACACTGGACAGCCGTTTCATCCTAGTATGGGACTCTTCAGCAGTGCGCATCAACGATTCCGCCTCGCGAGATCCGAACCCAGGATCCCACAGAGTTTTAATTACATTCTCACAGTAGCCTTTTGACAATATTTTTTAAATTAGGAATTTAATTAATTATAAATTAAAACGAAACACATTCATGTATAATTTTTTTTAAAAGAACTTTTAGATATATGTTATTTTCAATTGTTGATAATTATCAGACCAAATTTCATATTTTCATCTTGTATAATTACAAACATCTGGCATTACAATCTCAATTGTTATATATATGTATATTTCATTCTCCTGGTATGAGTATTATGTTGTTACTATTGTGGTTGTGGTTGTTGCATCTTTATTTATTTAATTCTTTTTTTTAACTTTTAGCCTCTGACTCAGAAACTGAACTCACATCGAATTCACATTCAACTGAACAATTGGGTCATACTAAATTTACTAATGTAACAAATAATTCACAACAAGTAAGTGATAATAAAGTTGAATTTATTGTAAATGTAATAATAATTTTACATTAATCATGCATAAAAGACTGATTATATTCTATATATTGATTGTCTGAATATTCATGTATTCACAATGTTGATTCAATATTAAATGTTCCATATATTACACCACAAATTATGAGCATTCGTCATTTCATATTAGTAATTGATATTTACTTTGACCATATTATATATTCTTCACTTTAATCCCTTAGAATAAATTATTTAACATTAAAAATGAACATCTTTTTATTACTTAATAGCTGTTGCTTTATTCTACTTCAGAACTTGTGGAATAATGTTAAAGGTGTTCTTCGCAACCTTTTTTTTTCGCCTAAGTTTTATCTTTACATGAAAATAGTAATTATGTGTTCATTAGTGACTAACTTCGACAGGCCGTTCCAGTAATTATAGTGAGAAGCTGTGAGAAGTAGGATTCGATTATATCGAGTGTAAGCCAGTTATCCATCGTACGTAATGGAAAATGGTTTCTCAATATCGTGAATCAATTGAAGCCAGACACGTACATCAATGGATTGAAATTCAGCGGTCTAAATGTTAGGCGTTCCCTCGCGAGACCTATGGTCCTAGATTTGACTTCCCATAGTAGAGTCGCTTATTAGCCTTGACCTTTTCTATATGAGCATATGAGTGTACATTGCTTACCCTACTTATCACATGTCTTTAGTTCATTTTTGTCTGACTATAAATATCGAGTCACACTTGATCAGGTCGAGTTAGCTCACATGCATTCTCCGCTCTGTTCCTTTTTTCGCTTTTCCACTTCTTATTCTGAATCTCTTTTTGGGAAGAAAAATACTCGGAATAATTTCATCCAACGCGACCCGTATTTGACTTCTTACAACCGCCGTTACACAAACAGGTTTATCCTAGTTAATATACGGAATTAAATGAAAAATTTGTGTCCATAACATATTCATACGTTCATCGGACCACAAAAAATCCAGCAGTCTTTAAATTGTGTTGTGATTTCTAAATTTTCACTGAGATTTGAATTCTATTCTCAATACGACTATTTTTGTCATTTCCGTTTTTCGTTACTTTTGCAAATTTACTAAATTTTAAGGATCGAATTAATAAATTTGATCACCTAACGGGGTATATATGATTCTATCTTTAATCTTTTTCTTTTTCCATACCATCATTTTACTACTAAACATAAAATTACTTTGTTCTATATAATTAATTAGCTTACAATTCCCTACTGTATCAGATTATTATCATTCACTAAAGTGAAGAATATCATTTTTGTCTATGATTAGCTACATTTATGTGTTCGTCTGGTTTACATTTCTATTGATGATCCATTATTACAATTTTTGTCATTACACTCACTCCTTAATATTTTATTCTAACAGGAAAGTCGCCTTGAATCTATCCATGACTAAAAAGCGATATATTTCATTGAGTTAAATAGCATACAATGATTTTGGAGCTGTGACTGAAACTCAACACATTGGATATATCGGTGTCCAATAACATTCATATGTTATCTATAAGTATTCAGGTTATATCTCGCTTATTTGCTGCACTACAGGAAATTGGAGAAATCGGTCCTAAAATCAATACTTGTTTTACTCGTGTAATTTTTCCGCCTACAAAATCAAATATATTTTTTTGATAACTTTATCCAATTGATGATAAGCAAATACTCTGTTCTTTCAAATAAATCGGTTTTGTTAAGTACATCAAAGATAATTGTATGATGTTATGATTAAGTCGTTCACTCATGTTTGTGTAGCGTGAAAAACCGCAGAATTTCTTTGTTAAAATATTTCATTATTTTCTCAGATAGTGAACACAAAATTTATTTTCACATATATCCTCTTGATTGTTTTGCTTAACTATTTATCTTACTAAGTAGAATAAACTTCTGATCAAATTATTCTTTAGTATTAATTAATGCAATACCAGATATAAATTTTTGTATAATACAACAGAATTTCGAATAGTCTTCTGCAATCTGTGCCTGTAGAGTTACTCTAACACGGTGAAATAATAGCTAGTAATATCATGCCCTGATTCGAAAAATAATTTTTAGACTCAATAATCCCTGATATTATTTTCCATAATGGCAATCAAATCTTCCTGATTTGACCATCTGGCTCAGAAAGCTCGAGAACGCTGGAAGTATTCAACTAAGCTGCGAATTTTCTACATCATTTCAGACATTCTTGTAGTATTGTTTTTTTGGGGGGGGGATTTGGTTTTCATTATTGTTACCCGAAGTTACTGGATTTACGCCACACTTTCACAAAAAATTGAAGCTTGACGTTATAGGACCTGCGAGCATATTACTTGGTTGTCGAGTTTAGTCAATAAATGTTAAGTTCTTACCTTTAACGATAATCATGATTACTTTTTTAATGTAAGTCTTCGTATAATCTGTACATTTTTCCGACTGGTTATTACCACTTTGTTTGCTAATTTTCCGTGTTTCAAAGTTATGTTTTTGTTACTATTTGTACAGAGTACTGTTCCAATTTTTCCTCAGTAAATATCAGTTTTTTCTGTACTAATACTACTTTCTTTCTCGGTTCCATGTTCGGAGATTATTATTAGTGTTGTGTGTCAGTTATTGTAACATCTAGTTTACGTACTCGAAATAATCTTTACTGTTCATAAACAGCGATTGCCATACTTCCAACTGAAATCTTATCGTAATTGTTTATTAAATTTTAACAAATTTTCATTGATAATTATAGATTTTTAGACTATTAAGTTATATACAACGTAGAGCATGACATATATGTACGTCTGTTCAATTTCGCATACCATATTGACACAGCAAGATGAAATTCTCAAAACAGATTCGATAGAAGGTGTCAACTTCTAGTGGAAAAAAATCACTTTGAACACCTAAAGTTATTGAATCATTAGTCGCATTAAAGTTTACTTATTACTCTAGTTGTTATAATCTTCAGTGACACAGATAGGGGAGTTATGATAAATACTGGAATTGGACGAAGAATATATGTATATATATGCACGATGTTTTTAAGGTCGAAAGTCAATATCTTTAAGGATGTTGCACCAGTTTTTGAATAATGTCAGCTAAAGAACCAATTAAGCACTTAGACTCGCTTTAACCTCCCTGAGAAACTTAATAGACTGATGTTCAGAGACTAACTGTATAATATTTGAATAACGTTGTCTCGATATACTATTTGTAAGTAAGTAATAATTCATCCCTAGTTTTACCGTATTCATATCCCATTAGTAAATCGAAACCCTAACTCCTTGTTATTGGCCAGCGTGACCATTATTTTGAGGCAGTTCTCTCGAGGAACTGTGGCCAGTTGAGGTCATCCATGTCGATACAAGCAATAGTTACCGATTTCATTTTATGATCGTTGTTCTAGATTGGGGATTAATCGGTGTTGAAAATGAGAATCATTGGATTCCAACTGCGAGACTCATATGTTTAGTTCGTGCCTTGAGATTTGCAGGTTCTGCTTTCGTTCATTCGGAATTCGTGGGTGAATGATCAGAGATCTCATGCTAGAACGAAACACCTGTCCAGCACTCTTTGTTTTTCAATGATACCACAGCTAATGTCAGTTTGTTACAAATATCACTTGATATTACTGTTACGTTTTGTTCAGTCATAGTGTATTAATAATTTTCTTCGTTGATTCCTTAAATTCATTGTTTCTTTGTTATTTTTATCTTTAATTTCAATTTAATTTTATTTTTGATGTCAGTAATTTAAAGTAATCCTTAATAAATATAGAACCACTTAGATATATAGTTGCGTATTGGAATATCAGACGTTATTTCACTTTATATTCATTTATTCGAATGGCATTATTAACCCATCATACTCCCTGTTCTCATTCGAGTTAATATCAGTTATTTATTTGAGTAATAATCAGGCATGTGTCACATTTAACTCATTTGTATACTTTATTCCATATTCACAATCACATCAATTGGCTTACTCTCTTGCTTTGAAATTCTATACCTCGGGTTAGTACCCCCTATTTTTTCTATGTAAATACCATATCTACGATAATTTCCATAGCTTATCTGGTTTACAGAACAGATATGTCACTGTTAGAATGTCCTAGTGAACAGATCATAAAGTGTCTACACTTTTTTTGCTGTCCACTTGCTTTCTTCCGGTTACAATACTACCATGTAATAACGGTGTTTTTCTTTGTATAATTGTAACATCACTTTGCGACAATGAGGTTCTCGTATTTAATATTTTCACTTTTTTATTTTAACTACTCAACATTTAGTCCTCTGACAATACAAATCCCAGGAAAGTACATTTACCAGTAGAGGCAACATGTAATTTCAGGCCTACAAAATGTAATTGTGATCCTTCAGTGTTCACTAAACGTAATGGAATACCTATGGATTCAGGCACACCATCAATAATAACAACAACAAATTGTGCTACTGCTAGTACCTTTGACACTGTTCCTACAAACACTGATATTGCTGATATATCTAGAAATAAGGGGGATGATTTGGACAAATTCGCCAATCATAATCAACTATCTGACTTAAATACATATGATGATGATCATAATCATTGTAATTTTACCGGTAATCAACATGGTCTTAAGAAATCGAAAAAATGGAAAGTTGGACCTAATGGCCTCCGTGTTCTATCACTTGATGGTGGTGGTATGCGTGGATTAGTTATCGTACAATTACTTCGTGCTTTAGAAATAGCATCTGGAAAGAAAATTACAGAATTATTTGATTGGATCATTGGTAACGTTTTTCATCATCACTAATATTTGTTTATTTATTTCTTATTGATTATGATTATTATTGATTCCTAAAGGTCATTTGAAACGGATGTATCTGATATATTCAACTTAGAGTATGGTATGGATTTAAGTTGGCTAAAGTTGTTATCTTACATCAGCATAACAAAATTAACTTAGTAAGATTAATGAGAAAGTTTGAATAATTTTGTAGCAATGATAATAACAAAGACTAAATATTGAAAATATGGTCCTAAAAGAAAGGACATTACATTTCAAGATCTAGAGGAAAGTGAAGAGTGGATCCGTCCAGGTCAGTGTGATCGATTCTGAATCACATCACCTAACGTCTCCATCCACTGGTCATAATAATCATGTGAATCATGAACTCTTAAGTGCCTCAGCTCAATTTTCAATGTTTTATGGACTAATGTTATTTTTTGGATTACCCGTTCCGTTTTTTCTCCAACATACTCCTACTCTAACCAACAGTTCACGTTTAACACAGGCGGTTCTTATACATTTGTAATATATACGTCAGCTATTTCAATTGATAGTGATTCACTTAACTCATCAGCTGATTTGTTTGTCGTTGGATAGTATGTATGCTGTTAATAATTATCAAAGTAGATCCCACTAACTAATAAACAAAAGATATTCTAGCTGTATCACGAACTGGTTAGAGTTTTTAAGTATTTACTTTGTCATTCCAAATCATACACTTAATTGTGTAACATAAGTAGTATGATTATTTCAATATTTGTCTTTATAATTTTAAACAGATTTATTACTTCACATTTTAAGAATGTTGTTAGAATAAATTCAAACAATCATTCTATTCTTAATTATCTCTTAAAAATTTCCTGCTTAATTAATTTAATGTTTTGTTATAAAACGATCAAAATATTTTTGGAGGCACTTTTAAAAAAATTGACACGAAAATATATAGTTGATTATATGAATTATCAACACTAATGGCAAGTATAGTTTTTTTATCTTTCCATGTGAATGTAGAGTGTGTAGTAAACTGAACCGTTATGCAGTATTGTTACTTTCTGTCAATTTTTTATAGTTATTTCTAGTTAGTTTTTGCTCACATCTTTTGTTGTTGTTGTTGTCTACATCACCATAAGTCAAGGTATTTTCTTATAAGAATTAGTATTTAACATCCTGTCTAGTTTACATTTCTCACATTTAGAGTTTTCTACGCTTCAGTGAGTAATTAATCACAATGAAGTAAAGTGCAATATCGTAAGTTTAAGTCTCGTTTGAAACACTAACATATTAGCATAGAAAAATGTGCTTAAAATTTAGCAGATCAATTTTATTCGGATAATCTACTGGTCCCTTAAAAACATATCTCTGAGAAAAAGAACGCGGACGGTCTCATAAAAGCTGTTTACATCAGTAAATAGTTTGTCATTTAAACAACTACGTTTTACAACTAAACAATCTTAATCACTAGTAGATTGTTGTTTTTCAAAGTACATTCATATTCATCTTCTGATTTATGTTTAATAATAATAATGATAGTCGCCATAGTAAACTTTTATCATTGAAATGTGTTGTTTTCGTTTCACTTTCATATGCTTACTATTTCACATGCTTTATTGATACTAATTGCTCACTTAGTGGTAATCATTATTATGTCACTGAATGACGCGAATCCTAATTGTACAGAGAGAAACATTCCATGCAGGATTGTAAAAGTGTGTGCCTTATTAATGAATGCTTACTACTACGAAATTTACATTAAAGTTTTCTTACCGATTACCTCTAACCACTTAACAACATTTGATGCCATTTAAGTAGATAAATAAAGTATTATTTTCTTACATTATTCCAGAATGCGTACTAAGTTTACAGGCATGATTTGGTTGATACATAAAGCAATGTTACATGTAAAGCGCAGAGATACATGGTTAAATTGTCTGAAATAATGTAGTTCATAAATAGTTTCGGGAAATTCTTTACAAGGAGGAAGCAGAGTGAAACCACTAACTCTTAGTAGGTGTTGGGGATGCAAGATCCCCAGAAATCACTTGGTAAACATGTTATTTTTGGAAATTAGAACTTCCAGTTTTCGCGCCAAAAGCTTTCATTTTTACCTTCAGATTGTATTTCCGACTTGAAATGACCCTAAATGTCATTGGTTAGTTGTCTCTTTTAATATACAATTTTGCGACGTTCCCCAAGGACATTTTTATGCTATATATACGCTTGAGCTGTGTGTTTGTTTTTGTTCGTGCTTCTGGCTACTTGTGGAATACACTTTTCCTCATCTGAACCTGAACTTTTCCCTCTAGTTAGCAGGGATGGGAATAGTTTAGCTGTCCTGTCACTGCATCATTGATCCTTCTTTGCGTTCGCTGATTTTTAGGTAAACTCGTAATCTCTTCAAACATACTAGTAGAGGGACTAAGATTATCTCTAGTGCCATTAAAGAGTAATTTCAACTAGAGAAAAGAAAACACAGAATAATAACAATAAAATTACTGTTACAGGTCTGCCGTTATACGAGTGCCAAGTCGTTTCATGACCTTCTGATTTGGATAGATACTATTTAAGTTAATTAAATTAACTGTGGATAAAGTAGGTGTAAAATACCTGCAAGAAGGTAAACTTAGTAAGTATGCCCAGTAAAAACAGTGTTCAAAATTTTAATATCTCTATAATGTCACTTGTAGAATGGGCTACAGTCACAGACTCATTTTTAATTGAGTTTCGGAGAGGAAGAGGTAACCATAAATTTCTCGAACAAATGTCGCTAGTGATGTTATTTCATGTACAGATTGGTGGCAAACTATTCCAGAGTCTTGGAAGTTTACTTGTATAGTCATTGATACAGAGAGAAGACTTAGAATGAAACATTTTCACTTTCAATGTAGAGATACAAATGCTGAAATTGGGTGTTTCGACATTTTGGATTGCAGCAGTGGCTGGAAGAGTTTTTTGGCATTTTGAAGAAACGATTACATTCGGCTTCCATATGAAGTCATTTTCAAGCCTGATGCATCTGGATTTTCAGTTTGAAGTATAATTATCCCCAAGAATGTAAATTTTACATCGCCTCTTGACAAATCCCAACGTACGTTTATTGTTTTTGTTAGCACTGCTCAGAACATAAAGGTGCAGTGTTCTACTTGTGGTCAGACACATATTTTGTACATTAAAATACGCAAGTCATTGCTGTAAAGTCGTTATGTAGTATGCAATCCAAAAGTCGTCACGACTTGTTTTGTGTGTGTGTTTGTCATTTTATGTTCATTTATTTATGTAATCTATCTTATAGGTACTTCAACTGGTGCAGCGATATCACTATTTCTAGTATCTGGCAAATGTTTACATTGTTGTCGTACATTATTATTTCGATTCAAAAATCTTGTCTTCTGTGGTAAACGACCATATCCACCGGAACCATTAGAAATGTTAATGCGTGATGAATTCGGTGATAATACTGTAATGACTGATTTAAAAACAGTCAGGTAATAAATAGGCTGTGCTTTTATCGGTTTAATTGATAATACTGACTATTTAAAAAGAAACATATTTTAGCTAAGATTGATAGAAACGAACACTGGGTCAGAATAAAAGTAGTGTATAGACTTGAATTAGTACAATACTATTACAATGACCAGAAGTAAAAGGTTAATGACTGTATTTTTATAGCCTTTATTGTATTCGTTTGTTAATTAGCAAATAAACCACTCATAGACTGTATTATTTTAATGAAGTTTTTTGCTTATAAAAATGATCATTTTGATTTCATCATAAATATTCGCATATACTCAGTCAGTTAATAAATGCTTCTGGGCTACCTGTTCCTGCCATCTAGATATTTCAACATGTTATCTATTTTTGTTTGTTTTAATATATCATTATGTTTAATAATCGCATGACCTATTCTGCTGCGTTTCTGAAAAGTGTACAACCTTTCGTTGTCAAAGCTACAAAAAATTCAATAAGAGACAATGTGGTTGCTGGCAATATACAGCGAAAAGAATGCACATTATTCAGATGTTCATTTACTGAACTGCTAACATCTAACTGGCGATCACTTAATCTTTATCGCCAGGACCGACCAAGAAGAAAGAAACGGAAACTTGTTGAAATACTTTACGCTGAGAATTCTATATTGTACCAAAAATATAATATTGAATAAAGCTGATGATAATAATAATAATAATTTAATTTTTTCTGTAATTACCACAGTCATTTATAAATTATAAGATTAATGCATATAGAGTTAATACCACTTTGGAATTGTGGATGACAAACGACTTTATATATGATCTTGGCTAGAACTTCCATCATTCAGATCAAACACAATACTGTTTAGTTATTTGAACATATTCCGGTTGGTTACATCTTGGAACTCTCTGATCAGTCGGAGAAATAATACAATTACTATTCCGTCTGTTCTCACCTTCACTTTGCTTGTTTATAATTTACCAATAGGCCCTAAATTTGATTTCGTATGAGATTGTCTATTCATTTGGGTGAGATGTACTCACGAATGTGATAGATAATTAACACTGTCTAGTTTCGTATCTAGTTGTATTCGTTCTATAATGGCAATTAATTTTTATTTGATTAGATCTTTGGCAGAACTATCCTGTTTATTTAAGAATTCTATCTAAACAGTTAATTTCCTTGAGATTTAGTGTAGTTGTTCAAAAAAATACAAGTTCAGTTTATCTAGTCGTGAAATATGCACAAAAGAGATTTTATGATGCAATCAACCATTGTGGACACGAATAAATTGTTATCTATGAAGTAGATGAACTGTTAAAGCTGCATATTAGCAATTGTACCAAGGACAGTTTGTAAATCAGTTGACAAAAAGTGTAATCAGACGGTAATCTTATTGAAATTTGATGTAATTGTTTTAAATTTACAATTTCATAGAGAATTGAAAGATATGAGATTAAATAACTGTCTCACACCCGATACAGATTAAACTCCACTAGACAATGATCATAAATATATCATTGTTTTATAACTAAAAGTAAGCTGTTTAATAAGCTAGTAATTTTACAACCTCTCTATAGAATTATTTTTCAGTTCTGTGATCAGATATGTCATGAACTTATAATACATTGAAATACGTTACTGTTTGGTTTAATATCTCTTACTAATCTCATTTGGATGTTTTTAGACAAACCAAGCATTAATTTCTCAATAAAAGAGGTAGCATTGTTTTTCGTTAAGTTGTTCTGCATCGAAATAGTTTCTTCAAGTAATTTACATCTATTTATTCGTTCTAAAAATATTAGAGTTGCTGTAACTACACTTGTCAGTGATCGATGTCCACCAATATTGCATATGTTCAGAAATTATAAATCTCCCCGTACTCGAATACAACAAATTTTAGAAACACGTCAATCTGGATTAAAGTCTTCTGTGTATCAACGAACAAACAGAAGAAACAGCGGATTAACTCATCGTCAGTCTACTTCCGCCCTTGAGCTTGATCGTGAAACTCAATCTACAAAATCATCAACACTTTCAACTTCTCAATCTATTTTAAATTTTTTCTCAAATGCTCAGGGATTGTTAATAGGTAGTGAAACAAGTACCAACCTTTCAACATCTGACACTGAATTAAATAATCCGTTTGAACAAATGCCTGAAGATAATGAACATGTAAGTCTTTCTATTTCGTAATTATAAAAAAGCAAATAATGGCAAGAATTTTGATCATTTCAAAATGATAAAGATACGTTGTCATGTAGAAATAAATATAATGAAATCGGATTTTAAAACACTGTAAATAATTTTCCTATGAAATATTTTAGTCATTTAATGGAACGATGATTTAAGTGTTAAAACATTTAGCTTTAAACCAGTAGGTCATAGGTTCGAATTCCTATTTCATCTCCTCCGGTTTAGGAAACTGAGCAATATTCCTATTATTTAGATGGATAGTGACTAAAAGTTCAGTTCATAAAAAAGTATTATAAAGAGCCATTTCTGTAAAGTAATATTTATCTCATATTCTGTTAGTTGTTTGAAGACTTTTCAGGTTTGAATAGCTATACTTCATGACATCTTAAATTAAATTCTTATGTATAAATTTATACTTCACTTAAGAATCAGTTGTTTTTTTTCATAAGCATTTAATTTTGATTTAAACGATTTTGAAGTCTTAACTGACCATTAATTTTGACCAGTTTGATACTTTACTACCTATTGTCCCAGATATTATTACTTGTTTGTTGAACAATTTTATAAAACACTAATAATTCTTCTTACAGTTTTGTTTTTAATTCACTTATTATTTTAACTATTATTTAGCCAATTTGGAAAGCTGCTAGGGCTTCAAGCGCTGCACCGACATATTTTAGACCTTGTGGGCGTTTCTTGGATGGTGGATTAATTTCAAATAATCCAACACTAGATATTTTAACAGAAATTCAAGAATTACAACTTTTACAACGTTTAAAAGTAAGTCATTTATTTAAACTTGTATGGGATTTTTATAAATTACAGAATATTAAGTCATATATTATATTCTATAATAATGAAAATATATGACATTACCCAGACAATAACAATTTTGACACTGGTCTAATAGTCTGTTAACATAATCCAGTAATGAAAAATAAAGAAAAGCAGAAGAACAAGACAAGCTACACATCAATCAGTCTATACATGTGATACTTCGAATTAAAATTCAAAACAAGAAGTTCAGCGAAGGGATCTCTTTCCATAAAATTTGTTATCTAATTGTACAATTATATATATGATCGATTGACGGCCGAACTAAGTTATTTGTTTTTAATCTTAAATATGAAATAGTCTGCTATGAATGGGCCCAGTGAGGACCCAAATGCGATATCAACTCGTTGTCTATGCGTTTCTTTGTTAAAACTGAACTGGATAATAAAGGTATGACGTAACAATAGCTCTTTCGAGTGGTGGGTCGGAATGTCTACATCTATATTATTGACATCAAGATATTCACTAATGTGGTATATGCTGCTTCAAATTTCTTGAATAGATGCAACTGCTTAACTTGATAATAAATTTGTTTAAAAGAGATCCGTGCACTGAACTTCGTATTTTTAACGTCTAAATTAAATTAAAATATTTAATTTTTAGTTATCTTACATAGGCTTCTTAGTCACTAAATTTTGCTATTTCCTGTTATTTCTGGTGTCGCGTTCGTAATACCCACTTATAATTGGGAACAGGAATCATTGCGATTCCTATAACACAAAGTGATAACATAAGGGCTAGTAGGAGTGAAAACTTATTAGCTCTCCAAAAACACGCCTTACACACAATTCATCCAAAATTACGTCATCAATAAACCAAATACATCCATTTATAAACCGGTTTTACACACATTTGATGAGTCGTTAGTAAATATCATATAAATGAAAAAATGCACAAGATTTCTGTAAAACGTATACGAAATTCTTACAGAATGATATGGAAAATATAATTGTCACACTGGGAAAAAGTTTACATCTGTCATACTGATCAAAATTGACACTTAATGATTACGAAACATATTAACCTGAAATAATGTTAAACTGTGTTAGAGGAGACGTGAAATCGCCTTTTTATCCCAACTTGTCATTTCTTTAACTCATATCCAAATTGTTTAACATCGTTTGACGATCTTACTGTAGTTTGTTTCTCCCTGATTATCCTGAGCTTTCTCTTAGTTAAAGATACATAATCAAAAGAGACAGTAACCTACATTTCTAGGTTAGAATAGCTTTGCTGCAATTAGTTGGGTTAATCAACTCTGAATGCGAAGACAAATTGAAGTACTTATGTATTGCGAGTAGTGAGTGTTAAAAAACGAAGAGATGGATAGGGTTACTGTGGTAAGTTAGGGTAGGTAAATTAACAAGACTCTGTATGAACCATAGTAATAAATCGAATTAAAAATTGGCTACCCAAATGTACTGAATTCCAAATGGGAAGAAACTTGTCAACAAGCCATCACTGCAGTCTCAAGGGAGCTGAAACTCCTCATGAGGTTTAAACATTTTTCAGACGGCTTCACAATCTAAGATCTTATTTCGCAGACTATTCAAAGGATATGACTGTATGAACTAACTAAGAAGTTTGTTCAGCTTAAACAATTTAGCAATTACAACATATAATCCACACTGTTACTGCTAAAAATAAAAGTGTGGGTCTTTTACTACTCAAAACGTTTCAGTAATTATCATATATTTTAAAGTAAGACTCATTCTTTAAACATTTTAGAATAAACCTATAACTCCTATAGCAGTGGTTGTTTCTCTTGGGACTGGACGGTTGCCTGTAATGCCTGTAGAGACAGTGGATGTATTTCGTCCACAAAATATTATGGAAACATATCGATCTGTACGTGGTTTCGGATTTCTCGGTCGTATTCTGGTTGAAATTGCAACCATGTCAGATGGTGAGTTGTTCGATAGCTTGAAAAAAATCAAATTTCATGTGAAACTAGTAACTCTGACACAGTTAATTAATTGTAAATAATGGTGCATCAAAATAAAAAGCGACACAAACAAATCACCCATAAAAGGGTAGGAAAAGAAATTTAGAGGGTGGTAGTCTTAGATGTGTAATTCGTTTGTTTAAGCTCCCGAGGGTTTAATCAATAAACCACACGTTCTAAATCTGTTCCACCTACTTCACAATAGGATAGGGCTATATGTGTATATACCACTGGGCTATACTCGTCCACTCTACCACTTACTCGAATAGCAATTTACCAGACAGTAGTTTTGTGACAATTCCTAACTGGTTGTTGATGAATTCATTTAGCTGTATAAAAAAATATGGAAGCTGAAGAAGAGTCAAATAAATTTCATTTTGACCGTAAACTATAAATGTTTATTATTAATAATGATACCTGTTAATTACTGTCTTTTTCATAATAACAAAGAGAGCTACTGAAAAGTATGATTATTGTCGTATTATTTCTTTGATTAGTTTGCAAGAAATAAATCTTACGTTTCGAAATGTTCAAGAGCTCATATGCATGATCTTTTATGTACTGATTCAGAATTTTCAACTCATTTGTGACTTTATGAGAAACCTATTCATCCAAGAATTTTGTTACTTATTAACTCTTAAAATCCGTTTAAAACTAAATATTTGTCGAGTTTAGTTTATTATTATTATTTGCATGGTTATACTGAATAAATCTGCTTTGAAAGCATCGGGCCACCAAACGCCCTAGTACGGCCGAGGATGGGGATATTTAGCTCCCACATAGCCACATGTATACAACCACTTTCAGGGAAGTCCTACTCACTGCCTTCTCGCGGCATTATTGTTGTTTATCTAATTGAGAGGACGAAGAGCGAATGTCCAGCGCTTTAACGGGGTCGGCGAATCTGGAGGATCCATCTAGACGAGTTGGAAAACCCTAATTACATACTAATGGTGCACATGAACTCCAGGATTCAGAGAACAAATGGCGTATGAACCAGTTATTCGCCACCGGCTACCATGGAACTGCATGTCTTTGCTTTGCTCCACTGCTTTGTGGATCAGACATTTAGGTCGAAGGCTCCGGGTGTGACCCCCTAAAAAAACAACCTACTTCGGTTTGAGGACCCTGGCAGTATCACAGCCCACACACAAATCAAGTGACTTGTGTGGCGCATATATTTTCGGTGCCCTTTTGTACCAATATTTATGTGTTCAAATAATAAATAATATTAATAATAATGGAAGTATCGGAATCGTTTTAAAGTAATAAGAATTCACCATTTCTCCTTATGGCTGACTGATTTAAAGTAGTGCATAGCCCGTCTTTTACTACCGAAGTCAATACATTCAGTCTCCAACACTTGGTGCCTTTATATCCAATTTTATTCAGGGTTGAAACTTTTGGTTATTGGTTTCTAAGCTGATAAATCAATAGTAGCTATGGTGTTGAAAAGCTTAATTATCTCAGGTTTAATCCTAAAATGATTTAAGCTTGCTTATTTTTCAGTAGTGATGTCTTACTACTTATTGGAAACACAAACATGTCAACTCGATATTTTCCAAACCAGCAGATATTGACGTAAAAAAAGCCTTATAGCAATCAAATAAAGAAATGAAGCTAATCTATACTGTCACTAACCGTTAATTTGAGTATTATTTGGGTTTTGGCGAAAACGAATAGTAAATTCCATGGAAATCACAAACCGATACAAGTTTTACAACTACTAAAAATCTGGAAGAGCTAGACGGCCGTTTCATCCTATCATGGAACTCCTCAGTGGTGCCCATCCACAACCCGTATGTGGTAATTGAACTCAAGACCCTCGGTTTTGGGCGCGAATGTCTAATCTTTAGGCCACTGAGCCGGCATCCATCGATACTAATGTCCAACGTCAACCAATTCATGATATTGTGCGACCATCTTTCACTATTTTCGGTGGGTAACGTCTTCAAACCCGACACGATTTAGCTCCACTGACCGCAGTTTCTCACTAGAACTCCGGAAATTTTCTCTGGAGCACATGATAATTGCCATTATGATGTTTTGAAGATTGTTGAGTTTCAATGAAATCACGAAACGTCCATTGCTTCCATGTTTTCAACTGTTGTCTAACTGTGATCGGTTCATGATGTCAATGAAACTCAACTCATGATGAATCATGATTATCCTAGAAATCAGTAGTTGGAAACGGTTAGGGTATACACTTAAAAATCACTAATTGTTACGTAAATTCATTCCATCTTGTAGGATCCATTTAGACTTGAATCGTATGGGGAATTCATGTGAGAGACTGATACACACTATTACGTGACCTTATCTTTACATGCTTATAATATATATAAATCATTTTTTATTACACTTCAATCAAATGTAGTCCGTAACGTATTAGCGGCAATAAAGAGTACGAAGTTAATCTGAATGGGTCTGTAATATAGACCCAGCACAACAACATCAGAATCTTCTATCTTGTGAACATCTTATTATGTGCTTTTACTATCCACATGTACTTTCTTGTGAATTTTAAAATTATTTCTTAAATAATTAGACATTGGATAACTTGAATTTATCTAAGTAATCTGTAATATTTTACTTTACTTTATCTGCTTGTGTTCAGGATGTTACAGCCCTGAAAAACCACTTGTCATGTTTACATTTTTAAATTTCAGTTTCTATTTGTTTGCACACTGAAATTTTCCTCACGGCAGAGATCCTTCATTCTTACCAAGACTAGCAATACTACTTTCCTATTGATCTTTTATTCTTTTAGTATGCGGATTTTTCATTTTATTTTTATGGTTATTATAAACATATTTACATGCGTTTGGTGTTTGTTTGAATCAACGTCCTTTGATTTCTTCCAATAAATATTTTCCACAAGGTTTATTTTGTAAGCCAATTGGGCGTAGTTGTAGTATCTTCACATATCTGACTTTAAACTAACTAATAGTTCTCTCCATCTAGTTCAATGCATCAATTTGCTTAGTTTAAGTGTATTTCAGAAAATTTAATTTTTCTACTCATTGGGATGTTACAAATATATTAATTCATTTGTATTTCCATATTGTTTATTATGTAAACATTTTAAATGAAAAATTTATCTTGTAATTTTTAACATTTTAGGTCGAGTTGTTGATCGTGCTAGTGCATGGTGTGGTTCACTTGCAGTACCATTCTTTCGATTAAATCCTCCATTATCAACTGATATTAGTCTTGATTCTACTGATAGTAAAGAACTTTTACTAATGATTGTTGAAACTCAAACTTATTTACGTCGAGTTCACGAACGGATTGAACTGTTAGCTTCATTGTTGCAATAGGATATATTCTTATGTAGAAATTCACTTGTTTTACAGGTTATTTTTTGAGATATTTATATAATGATTCGTTGATTATGACCATTATTATCAAATAATTTACTATTGTTCAGCATACATACTTCCGTCAAAGTTTACGGAAAAATAAGATTCCCTGCTAAAAGTTATTGTTCCAATTTTTGTTCATCAATTCTTGACCTTTGTTTTCTAATCATTTACAAAGCTTTCGGAATTTCTTTTTATATCTTTTATTCATCGTACAGAATTGATTTTATTTATACTTTGAGTGATAACATTTTAATATCTTATTTTGTGAAACAATTTACGTGATAATCAGTATGCATACATATAGACATACTGCTTCAAACTTTTCCCCATCAGCTTATCTATTTTTTTTAAAAAATTCCGATTCCGATTTTCAATGTCTTAAGATCATCAATTGATACATTCGAAAAGAAAATCACTTTTTGATGGGAGAGAAACTGTGTATAATATTGTTTTGTTAACAATTAATTAGTTTCACCATAATAGTAGGTAGCTACTTGGGTGGATCTAATGATACAAATTCTTAAGTGGTATGGTGTCTGGAAGTTGTCACATATTGAAGCGTAGTGTTGGAAGACAAAATAAATTAGAATGAAGAAAGTCATAAAACATAAAATCCAAACTTATTTCTATGATAATGTTGCTAACCACTATCAACTTTGAAGTAGTTGCGGCCATGCTATTGTCACCGTTCATGAGGTTCGCTCTATTGCTTAGGCTAGAGATTAAATGAACATGCACGTGTCACTCGACGGTCAATTTACTAAGTAGGTTCCAGAATGTTCGGTGGGCGAGTAGCTAGTGAGTATGTAGTAAATATCCAGTGTGGGATAACAATATAGTCAAAAAAATGTATGTTAGTGAATAATTAGTCTCATAGAACCATCTCGGTAATAGATGACTCAAGCATTTATTCTCGCTGCTAGCCTTACTACTAACCGCTTAATTGATTCGATGATTTATTCATTTCACTATGTATATATATGTCCATGTTATTCATGTTCATTGCTCTCGCTTAATTGTACTCGCTTACTCGTACTCATATTTGCTGACTCACTCGTTTGCCTTTCGGCACAACTCTTTCATGCTTTTTTAACGCACCTGTAATTTTGGATATCTATGTGGGCTAGTCTTAAGAAAAACAGACGTAAAAGGATTTTCTCCATATTTGCATGAGCATACAACAACGGATCTGACAGAGTGAATGTCCGGTTAGTTACTGTGCATTGCTCGAAACATTATGTTGAACCTTATTTTAAGAAACATTATTTCTAAAAACACTAATTTACTAGTAAGTGAGATAGGCAAAGACTATGGACTACCAAAGCAAACTTTTCGAACAAGAGATATTATCTTAACGTGACTTGTGTTTCTCAGATGTTTTCTGTGTCCTTACACAACGAAAATACCATTTTTGATACAAAGAATCTATACGGAGCTTAACGTTCGCTAGATTACTTTTCTACTAAAATTTATTTGAATTATTAGTTAACTGTAGTCTTGACTCAACGCACTACTCGGTTTAAACGGATTTTTATGTTAAAATGCTAGTTTTGGTTTCAGTAAATTTCAAGTGTTTATAGTACTTGTTTTGATCTGTCTAATCCGTTTTGAACATATTACTTCTTTATGCGCTAATGAAATTTTATTTCAGTCTCGTTAACAACCTGTATTTCACTATGGTCACTGAGAACAATTGTAAGCGACCTGAATGCCTTTTTGCTGTCAGCTATGGTATGCAGTGTGACAAATGCAAAGGTTGGTTTCACAGAGGGTGCACAGACCTTCCAGTAACTGCTCACAACAGACTTGGTAAGTCAGATCGCAAGTAGGTACGCGGCATATGCAAAGTAAGTTCTGTGGATTTGCTAAGCAACATCACTCTCTTGACAATTCTGAGAAAAAAATATCGGCAACCCTGTAACATGGCAGTCTTGAAACGGACAAATAAACAAAGGCTCGCAGCAAAGTAAGGTGGAGGGTCTTTATCAACATCGGTATCGACTGGATACGCATCAACACCAGCGAAGTTATGATGAAACTGATCACCGCCATAAAATCGACAGTGTTACACACTCTCAGATTTGTGTCCTCAAGCACAGTCTCCTTAAGTGCAAATGTGGTCCCCAAAAATTCTGTTGACAACTGGAAACTGTCAACAGAGTTAAAAAAAGATCGATTGTCACCGTCACAAATGCTGTACAACATAAGTCTTGTAAGAAAATCAGCTGATGAATCGGTCGTGCAATCTGCTCCTGGAATTAACCAACCAGTCGACGAAAAGTACGAGAATCCGGGCAGCCATCCGACTGCAAACGAAAAGGACCTCAACCTCACCATGCTCGAAAACCTAGGAAAACGATCATAGTTCGTTATGATTCTCCCATAATCATGAACCTTGAAAACAGCTCTGACCTTTCTGTCAATCCACAGAACACAAACAACCGGATACTCTGGGAGGAGTTGGATAGGAAGCCCTAACTTACCATAATTTGGCCACTGACTGTTACATAGCTTACCCGGGAAAAGGACACCAAACACTAAAATTATCCGAGACTCTTTCGAGTATCGTTCATCAACACTTTTGACGTGGAGAATGCCCTGCTAGCCAGTCATTAGCTAAAATAAGGAGATATGCGGATGCTGCACGTTGTACCATATTCTGAGCTCAATTTCATCAGGAACATAAAAAAATGACCACGTGAGACGTTCTTTCACGGAAGAAATATTATTGTGCAAGGTATCCCAGAAAACACGGACTCTAATGATGCAGACTACGATATTCAAGAGCAGAAGTTCATAAAACTGTCCTTAAACGTTAAGAAGGTTTCAACGTTTTTACGTGGTTTTAATTTGTTTTCCTGATAGTTTTTCTCTTCAATTTAACAAGATTTATTGGCAAAAAATACTTCATTTCTGATAAGGTTTCTAATAATTTGACACCTCATCTTGGCACTCAACGTCATACACTAATTCTGTAAGTTCTCATGCTGTTCATCTCTTTTCGTTCACTAAACTTAACATATTGGCTCTTGACAAATATTGGATCTCATCCTACCATAGAACTTTATACATCTAATAAGTTATAATTAGCGGTTCACTTAATACAAACCTTATATTTAGGCTACTTCAAATTATGTCCAAACCATCTAAAACACATACAATCTCTCTTGATGTCTATAGCGCCTGCAAAAGGTCAACTTCCGTCACTAGAGCGAATTATGTAAAGCTTTATAAACACACCGATCAGTCTGTATCGTACTCCGATCTTCCCACAGCTACACTAGACGTGCACTATGTACTTGGACATGACACGTCATTACCTTGAATCTCGCTTACAGATATAAATAAGACCGGCCACAAACCGTTTGAGTCGACATCACTTGACAGTCCACTCAAAAGCGTTTGATGTTGTGAGCAGCTTTCAGGAAGTGCGGCTGACCCAAAACACTCAACAAATCCACAGTCAGCCATCCTGTGTGGTGGCCCACAGTGTGCATGTAAGCCTGTCTACAATAGCCAACCCAATGATCTAGATCTTTACTACTTTATTCCTCAACTAAGTATGCGCAAAGTGACCACCCAATAGACACTTGCAACAAGTTTGTATGCAATCATATCGACCCTGAAAATTTTGATGTAAAATCTAATAATTTTGCCAGTGACAGTTCTAAGAGCAGTCAAATAGAACTTAGCCTCACCCAGACTATTCAAAAGTTATTAGCGTACAAATATCCAATCATTGTTCCGGAAAATTCCGATCTCAAAATCATAAAAAAACACTGCGGAAGTAATTGACCATATATCATCTGAAGTGCTGAAAAGACTATAGTGTACGTAGAATTTCATTGTGTATAATATACCTGATAGTGTGAACGTAGTCTTTTAAAAATGTCCCAATACAAGAATGTGGATTGTCGCAATCTTAGTGATTAACAAGAAGTTTACGTAAAACAAAAACGAAGACTTCTTATTCCATTCTCCTTTAGTTTTGTAGTATCACAGAATCCATTCACCTCCTTAATAGTCACTCATTACTAAGGCATATCCCAACATTTAAAGATATTAGAATCATCCATGACAGGATTGCTATCCAACGTCGAATCTTTAGTGAATTTCAAATCAATCAACCCAGCCTGCGTAGTAGCCACATTTACAATGATCGCCACTGCACAAACGCTAAAACACCATTTTCTATCCCTCCTAAAAAAGGAGGCACGTTGCACGCTGCTACTCGTTCTAAGAACAAGACTACACATAAAGCAGATGCGGTTGTTCATTTTAAACCCAAACACCCAACTACTCCCAAATACCAATCCACTTATGTTTCTATAGTGCCCCAGCATTGCCCTAGTGGCTCCAATAAAATCTCAAAATAGCCTAAATATATTCCTCTCAGAAATTGCTATAAGAGCTATAGCCGCTCGATCACCGCAGTACGAAATAACACTAAACCCTCTGTAGAAACACATAAGTGCTCCAGCGCCCTTGACCCACAACATGCACCTGTCCATAGAAGTAGAATGCCCTTCAGAAAACATGGTGGACTGGCGGTATCAATTCATCCCAACGTGTGACTACACCCGACTAAAACCACGCCTACACATAATACCAGTAAGCCTTATAGTGCGAACCTTACAATCTCTGTGATCCAGTATACAACCGTGCGTAACACAAACACCTCCCCTGGCAGCAATGTCGCGTAATCCCCCATTCCCTGCTTCAAACATGCGACCTTCTCAACTACCCATAAGAGGACTAAGATTGCACACCGCCCACAAGGAAGCTGTAAAGTTGGTCTACTTGGGAACACACCTAGTGATTCTAGATACCATCAAAGTCAAGCCACCCTATACAACTCTGTGATCTCCCCTAATTCGACATATACACGACCTCATCCTTTTTTATCTCCCTCCCCCTTGACAGTGCTGCTATGGGGTCTCTAAATGTTGAGGGCGAAAATCTCACTATTTTGGGACCATCCCCTATGTTCTCCGACGCAATGCGGGAATGACATATCTTTCTTCCCACCGATAACTGTCTCTGGTCTCGAAAGCTCCTTGGCTAAACCTCTTGACCATTTCCCAAATGCAAAACCTATCTATTCAACTCACTCGACTCTACCTGTCATTCCTAAACATACACTTCTCGCTAAACTACCCTTCGACTACCTACCTCCCACCAGCTACATTGGTTACAAAACAAACGAACATGAATGTGGAGCCGGTACTCCTACTTCTTCCTCTTCTCCTCATGACAAAACAGACAATGCACTAGATTTACATCGCACCCTGCTATTATACAAATATTCACCGTACCTGACAATTATGTTAATCAATGCTCGATCTGTACAAAATAAGATTGCTTAACTACACACGCTATCACTTTTAGACAACCCTTCACTTG